GATAAATCTTGTTCCATAATTGTTGTAAGGTTAATAAAGCTTTAATATATGTACTATACATGTGTTACACTGGCACTACATAGACCCATCTTCCCTACCATTCTCTATTAAATCCATTCAACTGAATCCAGAAAACTACCACTTTATTCAGTGCATTCAGTGTTCCAAACCACCTGTAGCTCAGCTGTATTGATTCCTATCACACTTGCATTTTCTTATCACAATATGTCTGGCCAACTTGCCATGTGTTAACCCTGGGGGAACCCCCAGCATAGCCATACTCATGCAGGTAACATTTGTACTTGGTTTATCAATCATAACCTCTTACTGTATCAACCTAAAATCCCTTCAGGTTTCAAACATTTTAAGTATTATTCAGTACAGAAAAAAATGTAAATATCAAAAGTCAATATTTCTTCCTAAATTTTGAACCAAAACTTCCATTCTAAAATGGGTGCTCAGCCCTACACATCGTATCTAAGTCTGGACTGTAATTCAGTATCAATAAACAGTAACATTTTTCTTCCAACACAATGGGACATCACAATAATAACAGTTACACAGACATGAACAGATAAATATTTAGTTAACCCTCTGGCCTTGTACTGGTATCTATTGATCTCATTGTTTGTACACAGGTATGTATGACTGGTATATCTGTATATATGTTGTGTAAAGAAATGCATTATTTATATACAAATTTGAATAGGATTATAGTTATGCTGTCAACGTTCATTTTGTAACTGCAAATATTCTACAAGTCTGGTCACTTGTTGTAGTAATTACTACGGACACTTCTAATGTATAATCTTGTTACTTACTGTAGTAATTACTCAGACACCTCTAATGTATAATCTTGTTACTTACTGTAGTAATTACTACGGACACCTCTAATGTGTAATCTTGTTACTTACTGTAGTAATTACTACGGACACCTCTAATGTATAATCTTGTTACTTACTGTAGTAATTACTACGGACACCTCTAATGTATAATCTTGTTACTTACTGTAGTAATTACTACGGACACCTCTAATGTATAATCTTGTTACTTACTGTAGTAATTACTACGGACACCTCTAATGTATAATCTTGTTACTTACTGTAGTAATTACTACGGACACCTCTAATGTATAATCTTGTTACTTACTGTAGTAATTACTACGGACACCTCTAATGTATAATCTTGTTACTTACTGTAGTAATTACTACGGACACCTCTAATGTATAATCTTGTTACTTACTGTAGTAATTACTACGGACACCTCTAATGTATAATCTTGTTACTTACTGTAGTAATTACTACGGACACCTCTAATGTATAATCTTGTTACTTACTGTAGTAATTACTACGGACACCTCTAATGTATAATCTTGTTACTTACTGTAGTAATTACTACGGACACCTCTAATGTATAATCTTGTTACTTACTGTAGTAATTACTACGGACACCTCTAATGTATAATCTTGTTACTTACTGTAGTAATTACTACGGACACCTCTAATGTATAATCTTGTTACTTACTGTAGTAATTACTACGGACACCTCTAATGTATAATCTTGTTACTTACTGTAGTAATTACTACGGACACCTCTAATGTATAATCTTGTTACTTACTGTAGTAATTACTACGGACACCTCTAATGTATAATCTTGTTACTTACTGTAGTAATTACTACGGACACCTCTAATGTATAATCTTGTTACTTACTGTAGTAATTACTACGGACACCTCTAATGTATAATCTTGTTACTTACTGTAGTAATTACTACGGACACCTCTAATGTATAATCTTGTTACTTACTGTAGTAATTACTACGGACACCTCTAATGTATAATCTTGTTACTTACTGTAGTAATTACTACGGACACCTCTAATGTATAATCTTGTTACTTACTGTAGTAATTACTACGGACACCTCTAATGTATAATCTTGTTACTTACTGTAGTAATTACTACGGACACCTCTAATGTATAATCTTGTTACTTACTGTAGTAATTACTACGGACACCTCTAATGTATAATCTTGTTACTTACTGTAGTAATTACTACGGACACCTCTAATGTATAATCTTGTTACTTACTGTAGTAATTACTACGGACACCTCTAATGTATAATCTTGTTACTTACTGTAGTAATTACTACGGACACCTCTAATGTATAATCTTGTTACTTACTGTAGTAATTACTACGGACACCTCTAATGTATAATCTTGTTACTTACTGTAGTAATTACTACGGACACCTCTAATGTATAATCTTGTTACTTACTGTAGTAATTACTACGGACACCTCTAATGTATAATCTTGTTACTTACTGTAGTAATTACTACGGACACCTCTAATGTATAATCTTGTTACTTACTGTAGTAATTACTACGGACACCTCTAATGTATAATCTTGTTACTTACTGTAGTAATTACTACGGACACCTCTAATGTATAATCTTGTTACTTACTGTAGTAATTACTACGGACACCTCTAATGTATAATCTTGTTACTTACTGTAGTAATTACTACGGACACCTCTAATGTATAATCTTGTTACTTACTGTAGTAATTACTACGGACACCTCTAATGTATAATCTTGTTACTTACTGTAGTAATTACTACGGACACCTCTAATGTATAATCTTGTTACTTACTGTAGTAATTACTACGGACACCTCTAATGTATAATCTTGTTACTTACTGTAGTAATTACTAAGGACACCTCTAATGTATAATCTTGTTACTTACTGTAGTAATTACTACGGACACCTCTAATGTATAATCTTGTTACTTACTGTAGTAATTACTACGTCACCTCTAATGTATAATCTTGTCACTTACTGTAGTAATTACTACAGACACCTTTAATGTATAATCTTGTTACTTACTGTAGTAATTACTACGGACACCTCTAATGTATAATCTTGTTACTTACTGTAGTAATTACTAAGGACACCTCTAATGTATAATCTTGTCACTTACTGTAGTAATTACTACGGAGACCTCTAATGTATAATCTTGTCACTTACTGTAGTAACTATAATTACACTCTGACTGTACAAACATCTTTGTTAAATAAGTCTAGTCACTTCTTGCAGTTAGTGAAAAGTTTGTAAATGATATACATAACTTATCATAATTTTATTCCATGTATACTTTATTGGCTAAGTTGATGAAATTGCCTGTTTTTAAATTTAACATCAGATATTCTACATTATTTTCAGCTTCAGGTTATAGATGTGAAAAGGTTCAGGCCTGCTGTATAACACTGCATGATCATATGAAGCAACTTATGTGGTGCCTATTCTGCGGAACAGGGATTTTCTAAGAGCCTTTTGCTTATAAGGAGACATTGAAGAAACTAAAATTGATCTGCAACTCCATTGTGCGGACCTGTACTTTTTTTTCTTTTACCTACCAATACCTTTTATTAATGGTGTCATGAAAAAAAAATACTGGTAGCCTGGTAGGTAAAAAAAGATAAAAGATACAGGTCCCAAGTGTTGCAATGGGGTTGCAGATCAATTTTGGTTTCTTACTTGTATCATTGGTGTTCACCCCTGCAGGCCAGGGATCGAGAAAAGATTACACCTGCTGGTACCCACTGCATGTATCGTAGGAGGCGACTTATGTGGGAACCCCTGCAGAATTGGGGATTCGCGTTTGAGCCTTCTACTTGGGGACACAAAAGCAAGCAAAATAAATCTGCTGCACCTATTGCAACATTTGGTATCTTTATCTTTCTTTCTACTTCTAACTACCTTTTATTTCCTAGCACCTAGCTTGGCAATACCTCACTTCTGACTTTAATGTTGAGCGTTTGCCCAGGTGAGGAAAGACAATGGGTTCTGTCCCATGCAGGCCAGGACATACCAAAATCCTTAAAAATGGTAGTTGTTATTCCCTGCTTAATGTTCAGCATTGAGGGTAATGGCAACAACTTGTCCACCCGTTGTCAGTATGATGTGACTGGGCGGAATGCTGTGCTGGGTGCCTTCTTCGGCATGGTGTTTAAGTGAGATAGCACTATAAAGTCGGCATCAGATCTGTGCTATTACAAGGAGGCAAATACATCAACATACCCTATCTCCAGCATACAGACACACTTGCATGCTTACACAACACACATGGAGGCACGTCCTTAAATGACCTACCGTAATATGTTAATAGATGTTAAACAAAATAAAACCAAACCAATCATTGGTGTCTTTAGTCTAGGCACCTCTGCACTGGTTGATGGATACTATCGGAGTGTCATGATACCATGTCCAGGTTGAGACATTTCAGGGAGATGGCAGCTGAAAGTGGCCAGTGGTCAGTGGTCCCATCATCAAAAAGGGACAACTAGGACTCAAATCTGAACTAACTAAACAAAATTCTTAGGCCAAAAAAAATATGTGTGTTTCCTATTAATATGATGTAGATAAAATCTAAACCTCACTTAAATAGCGATGTGTACTGTTTATAGTTTCTTGTTGTGTGTGCTCTGTATAATAGTTTCTCAATTATATTATTGTATAAATATCTACGTACATGATTTTCCCCACAAAAAATAGTTAAGGTGTGGTCGTCCAGGAACAGATCACCTGACCAATCTAATTAGCCTGTACAGAGCATATACTTCAAACCTTCCACCTTTTATTGGGGGAATCGCTTACACTGATACAGGCTAATTTGATTTATACTGGAGAGTCAACACAATTATCTCGGTCTTGGTAGAAATGCTTCCCTGGGCAAACATGGATCTTCCTATCTAATGTTTACCTGCAATATACCTACAGCACATATACCTGCAGCATATATACCTGTTGATCAAGATCATTTCCCGTTAGTAATTGAGGTTTTGAAGTCAGTTTGGTCAGACGTACAGGACAAGGACCATTAGCGATATTAAGTATAGTCATTAGTCGTACATTTATAACTATAGTGCGTACAGCAGACTTAGCCCGAGGGGTCAGAAGTTCGGGCCAGGGATTCAACAGGTGTAGAGTATAAACTTACTTATTGGACCTGAGTCAGCATCAGAGAAGAACTGACCAGGCATGGCGGCGTCCAGAAATCCGTGCATGATTTTTTCGTACAATGTTGTTACACCTTTTTCTAGAGATGATTTCTCATAAGATCCTGTGTCTGAAACTGTATTACCCTGTTGAGCTGAACTCGATGTGTCGTTAGAATCAGCCATTGTCATTGTGATTAAAATGGAAACACAGGTGATCACAATTATACACGTTCTCCCAGCCATTTTGTACTGATTTCCTTTCCCAGCGAAACTCGAAAACTATGTTAGTCCTTTCTCACCGACACTAAGTATGTAAATCACAAGCACAATTGATCGGCGTCACCGTCACTCTTTACCGTGTGTTACAGCCACACGTAACCTTTGACCTCTAGAATTTTTCTTCCGGATATATATAAAAGGATGACGTCACTCACGGAACCGCCCTAACACACCTGTGTAATTTGCACCTGACACAGGTACACAATACAAACGACAAACTAATGTCACGATTTAAAGTAGCAGTGTGATTTGCTGATCACGAAAACAAACGATGTTAAGTAAATGATAATAAAAACCAACCGATAAACGATGAAAATTTAGTTTAGTGACGACCTCACGACACACGTACATACCACGGAATTAGAACGTAATCTAATCTAGTCTTATTCTGTGTATACATACTATAACAGTGTTGTGACTTCATGTGATTAAATAACCCAAAACACATAATGTTACCGCATCTGTATTGTACTGAAAGTTTCTGGTCGTATATATATATATATATATATATATATTATTTTATGATCCTTTTTTTTCAAACTGTACCTATTACCTAACGGTTGGTAATAACATATGTGACGTGCAGATTTTCATTAAGAAATGGAAATGGCATCAGTAATTGTTTCAAATTACAGACATTCTTTATTGCATTTGTCATATTTTCCTTCAATCCTTCGGACATGGGATGAAAGAGAGATTTCCACCAGAGACGTATTATTATTCTCTTTATTTCCTCCGAATCGAAGATTCACAAACAGAACAATACATATATGCATTCATTAAAGATTGACAAAGTAACTTGCATGTTATATGACAATATACAAACGGAAATTCAAAAGGTAAATTGTAATGTAAAGTAAGGGTTACGCTGGAGTTAACCCCCTTCTTGCGTCACTACGCTCCTTAACTTATCTTAAGTTACTTAAGAGAGATGACCATCATAAGGAATACAGAAAAAGGAAAATGTTACAATTGACACATTATAAAGTTTAGGTTAAGACATCATTTTTAGTAAAGTTTGCACATTCTGAATATACAAGTTACAGATTTTATGCGAAAGTCATCTAACTCCCATGAATTCAACTCATGCTCTACATTTCCTCCAATGAGGATATGAAACATATCGTACTCAGACATGGAATGTAAGTACCCACTTAACATTATGTCTTTTATATTTATAAAATCACACCATAAATTATCTCTTAACTCTTCTGTATAATCACATTGTAGAACTATATGGGTGGCTATATCACTGTACATTCACCCTCACACTCTCTGATTGTTACAATTAATTTCATGACATATTTTATAGCTTCTCTTTTGGCTGAGAATTTAAATGCCAGTCTCCATAATACATGTGGTACTAAGTAAATGACCGTGGATACAAGAAAATCTAGTATAATCGCCATTATTGGCCATTCTTTCTCGCCACGCTAATTCCTCTACTGAGTATACGGCATTCTTTAACACGCCACATAAATTTAGACGGAAAAGCATAGTTAGTTATAAAATCATTAAACACTTCAAACAATTTATACTTTTGCCGAATTCTTAGTATATCAACTGCGAACCCTTGTCTATTTGAACTTAATTTAGATTCTATACAACGAGAAAATATTTTGTAAAGAATACACGAGACGACAAATTCGTCTTATCTAATCTACATAACCTACCTAGGAACAACACTTTCTTAGTGTCTATATAGGATTCTATACTAGTCCATCCAAGTAGACTTGTACACATATCTGTACGGGTTTTAGACTCAATACCTTGTATTGCTTTCAAGATGAAATGTTGTGCTCTTTCAAGCATTAATATTTCTGTTCTGGATAAAATCATAATTCACAACCATATAAGGCTGCAACATACACTTAAAAGTTTATAATTCTACTTATAGTTAGTGGATTTAAAGCACTTGGATGGGCTCCACATCGAATGATGATCATGGTTCCGCTTCGTAACTTGTTACATGCACGTAAGGTACGCTCTATTGAGTTAAATTTACTGTTCAGCATCACACCAACATGGACGATATCATCAACATTAGGAAGAATACAAATATATAAATACAGAGTTTTACGTTCAATATTTCTTCTTTTACAGGAAAAAGTTACAATTTTACTTTTAGCAGAAGAAAATGTAAATCTCCATTTCTTGCTGTACTCTTCACATATAGAAAGCATTATTGCAGACCAGAATATTTAGTACTAATTACACATATATATTATCTGCTTGTGTGGTAATGTTAACTCGCAGATCTGCTATTACTGTACCCTTCCCACATTTTTCAATATTGTTCAACAATTCATTTATAAAAACAAGATACGTTTTTGCTGAAAGAGCACTTCCCTGTAAGATACCGCGCTCCATTTTTACCCATTTTGACCTCAATACGTTCACTAAAATACTACTTTGTATATTTTTCATGATGTTCCATGATTTACATTTTATTCCTAATTCATGCAGTTTAAAGAGCAACCCAGCATGCCAAACGGTGTCGAAAGCCTTATTGCTATCGAGAAATCCTACATGCACGTCTTCTCCTTTCTCGGTGTTATACCGTATACATTCTTGAAGATTAAAAGACGTTAGCAGACTACATAACCCCTTTTGATTTGCTAATTGTTGCCTGTTTGGGAAATTATCCGTCCTAAGGACAGGATCCAATCTCTTAGACAAAATCATTTCAAAAAATTTGAACATTACAGGTAAAAGTGTCATCCTTCTATAACTATTCGGGTCGTCCTTCGGTCTACCATTTCCCTTATACAGTATTATGATAAGGCCTTTGCCTTTTTTCCAATCATCAGGTATATGTTGAGAGTTAATGACAGCATTGTATAACTTCGACAAATGACTATATAGCAATTCACTCCCGTACTTGAAGTGTTCATACATAATATTATCAATCCCTCCTGCTTTGTTTAGTTTTAATTTACAACATATATACCTCACGACACACGTACATACCACGAAATTAGAAAGTAATCTAATCTAATCTTATTCCGTGTATACATACTATAACAGTGTTGTAACTTCATGTGATTTAATAACCCAAAAAACATAATGTTACCGCATCTGTATTGTACTGAAAGTTTCTGGTGGTATATATATTATTTATGATACTTCTTTTTCAAACTGTACCTATTACCTATCGGTTGGTAATAACATTTATGACGTGCAAATTTTCATTAAGAAATGGAAATAGCATCAGTAATTATTTCAAACTACAGACATTCTTTATTGCATTTGTCATATTTTCCTTCAATCCTTCGGACATGGGATGAAAGAGAGATTTCCACCAGAGACGTATATATTTATTTGTATCGGTTTCCGCTAATGATTTTTTTACCGTCTTTGTGAATATGAAAAGTCTGTCTCCGTATTTAAATAAATTACAATAAACTTCAAAAATACTTTTAACTTGGAGAAACATCAATGTAACACATATTCAAGATTGCGTCATCAAAGCAGTTCTCTAAGACAGGTGCCATGTTAATCTTACAGAAGCCCGCAATATATGTAGGAATGCCTTTCCTGTTTGCATTTTTACGCTTTCTTAGGCTAAATCTCGACACAAACTTGCAATTATGCTCGGACCGATGTCGCAAGATAATAAAATTCATATTGCAAATACGTTGAATCGCTGCATCCTATTTGGAATACCGTTGGGTCAATGATTTTTTTTTTTATAAAGGAAATTATGAATATTTCTGTTTTGTTTATTTTTTTCTTTATTAATGATGATTACAATGAGACCTATATATATTTATGTGTGTATTAGTTAAATCAAAATTAAAATGCCCAGGAGTTAGAACTTTATGGTTTAAGGCGAAAGCTCAAACAATACAGTTATGAGTTTGTGCATCCTACGTTTACTTTCGTTCTGTACACCACTGGAATATGTCAGATAGCAAAACTGAAGACACGCGGCTAGCTATTTGGTTGGGATCAGGTAAAAAAAAAACTGACCAATCACTAGGCCGATATTTGTCCTTCGAAGATTACAAAGGAGAGGCGCCCGACTTCAAAGCCTGTCAAAGTAAAGCCGTTATGTGACCGCGAGATTCTTTTGATGTTTATCGAAGAATCGATCTAGTCTTCTTGTCTCATCAACAAGGTGGCGTACACTGAGCCTTCAATTATGCTATGACGTATTCCAGGGTGCAGAGAGTAAAAGTGAGTGTAACCCCTGGATATTCAATTTTGCTATGACATATTCCAGGGGTGCAGAGAGTGAAAGTGAGCGTAACCCCTGGGCCTGGACAATTGAGTATTAATACAACTTATCATACTTTGTTTCAGCATTGGACGATCTTGCGCCATTAAACCTCTTGTAGTTTATTGAAATTCCAATTTTAGGAAAAGTCTAAAGTGACTAATGAATCGAGCAGACACAAGCATATTAATTGACATTGAACAGAGTAATGTTAGAGGAGTTGTCTCCCTTATCACAATTTCAACCTGGCGTGGGTAGGGGTGACAGGAGCACCGACACCAGCTATTAATTCATACAAAGTAGTTTATATTCCAAGAATTGTTATGCTTAGATCATCCAACAACTATTTGTAATTTTAAATTTTAAATAATTTCTGATGTTATTTCTATTTCTCAAGGGAAATTAAGTGTTATTACCAACTGTTAGAGGTAAAATATACATTGTAATTTTTTTTTAAATGTGATGATAAATTAATATTCTATTATTTTTGTACTGTATACCAGAGTGTCTGCTTTTGTAATTTCAAAATAATTTCAGTTCCTTACTGGGTATGAATTATGATGACCAACCGTTGTGGTAAAATAGTATTAAGAAAATTTAGGCCCATATTCATAATAATAATAATAATATACAGCATTTATATAGCGCCCTATATAATTTGTAAAATTACTCTAAGGCGCTTTACAACATATGGATAATAGTAATGGTTATAATTGTGAAAACAAACAACAAAGGCTTGCAATCACTTTCATACATTTAACAAGCAATGTGCACATAATTGAACAAATAAAAGGGTGGTATTTACATGACGTCTTTGCAAAGATTCTAAAATGCAGACGTGAAGAGGTGAGTTTTTATGTCCCTCTTGAACTTGGCCAGGGTATTCGACTTCCTAATAGCAGATGGTAAGCTATTCCACAACGTAGCCGAAACCCTCCCAAAGCATCTGTTTCCGTAGGTCACAGTACGAGATTTTGGGACACACAACAAAGATTCTGACTCCGACCGCAGTGATCTTGACGGCTGATACAGGGTAACAAGTTCCTGTAGGTACTGAGGAGCTGTTCCATTCAGTGCCTTGTATGTGTATACCAGAATTTTGTACTGCGACCTGTATCGTACAGGTAACCAGTGCAACGAATAAAGCGCAGGTGTGATGTGCTCTCTCTTTCGAGTACGAGTAACTAGCCGTGCTGCAGTGTTCTGGACCCTCTGCAGACGACTAGTTAGTTTGTCAGATATACCACAGAGCAGGGCGTTACCATAATCCAACCGAGAGGTAACAGGTGAATACACCAAAATCTTGCATGCATATGCAGTTAGAAACTGCGGAATACAGCCGATGTTCCTGATCTGGTAGTAACAGGATTTGGCAATAGCGTTCACTTGTTTCTCCATGTTCAGAGCACTATCAAAGTATACCCCTAGGTTTTTAACAGCTGGAACATGAGTCTCAATAGTTCTGGCACCAACCTTGAGCTGGAGAGCCATTGTTTGCTGACACTTTGGGGAAAAGACGATTAGTTCCGTCTTTTCCTGATTAAGTTTAAGCATGTTGGCGTTCATCCAGGTACTGATATCTGTCAGACAAGCTTCCAGACTTTCTGAGACTGTATTCCAACTGTCCTGTGGTTTTATGACCATGTAAATTTGTGTGTCATCAGCATAGCAACGATAATTTCATTTCTTTCTTTGTGATAAATTAACACACATACTCACATAATAACAACATCAATAACATACATACAATGCAATAAAATGCAAAAAACCCACATGCATTTCATCAATGATCAAGGAGAATTTCGGAGAGACTCAGCGCCAAAAACTGTTTTCAGTGTTTAAACTTGATTTTTTCACCGTGACGCATTACTTAGTGAGTAACAAGAAATTAGTTGGTTTGAGCACAGAGTACATGCTTAAACGTGAGAGCGATTTCATGAATACGGACCCTGGTGCTAAACAGATACTTTGACTATTTTTCATCGGATGAAGAAGCTGTAGTTTTATTCTTAACGTCTTTCAGAAAGCATATTTTGCGCAGTTTCAAAATATAGGGAATTACAAGTTTGCACAGCAAGTACTCAGTAGTTCAAGTTCAAGTTCAGGTAGTGACATAAAAAATATCCAATTTAGTCACATCGTTGTACAGGTAAACAATACAAATCGCTCACTCTGTCATAGCTTGACAAAGGGACCAGTAGGTCTTGAAACGTTGCGGCACGTTTAATACGTTTTTGTAAACAAAAAAAAAACCCTTTGATATCAGATCTAGTAGGGTACACTAGTTATGCTACGAGCTACTAATTCCTGTTTCACGTCGGGCCTCTTCCGATAAATTTGAATCTAGTACAGTGCATCCAGATCATGTTCCACTAGAAAATTTCAAACTTATTTATTTTAAAAATAAACGATTGAGCATTGATTTCATCTGTAAGTTAAAGCTACATGCACCTTCTCAAAACTGATATATGTGTTTTCAATATGGTCACTCGATTTCCCAATTGGGGTGTGTGTTAAGCTTAAATTGTATATGGCAATCACTTAAGTTTAAATAATGAAATTTTAGTACCATATCACAATCCTAATTTTAGAATAAAAAATCGTCTTGGATTTGTTTATGTTAAATTTGACTATCATATTTAGTCCTATGTTAGCCCTAGTTTCCCCTGGCCCTGACACCAGACTTAGACATTTTGACAGATAGATGTCTGGTGTGGGGAAAATCTCTAAGTCTGGTGTCAGTGCCAGAGGAAACTTGGGCTAATCCTATGTTTACTTAAATATTATAAATCAAATGAAATATCTCATAATAAAATTCATATGTAAACATTTCATTTCATTATATACTAGTTAAGATTTTAGTCAATTCGGTTTTTTCGCCAAAAGAATTACAAGATGACTGGACACGATTGAAATTAAATACCTACACCATTATAACGGCCACCTAACAAAGGTTTAAAAAGTGTAAATCCTACTGCTGGTTATGTAGGTATATTTTCTTTTTTCCCCAACCCAAAACAAATATAGGACGGTTTGATTGCTTTATGTAGATGAAGAGGCGTGCAGTAATATTGTTACCTGTTCTAAGTAAACGAAAAAATGACGGCAAAATGAACGAATACTTCATAAAAAGTCTGACATGGAATTGTCGGACATTATATCGCAAATTGTCATCGACTGTTTGAAGAAATCAGTCATTTTTAAAAGCTTGACAGCAACTGTATAGTTTCCGAAATATAAAGTTCCTAAACATATTTGAAACATTGTTAACAAATACATAGCATACGTTCTTATTATCTTTATTTAACAGTCTCAGTTAATACATTTATTACGGCTTCACTAAATTTATACTGTTTTTAAAATTCTTATCGTTGGACAACACATCAAACTCGTAGGCGTTCGGCGGAATCACCCTAATGAACACGCAACTAGAACGAAGCACGCTCTTTTCTATTATTCATGTGAATGTTGATTGCGTGAGGATTAAACAGGTTATATTTTACAAACAGGTGCGTGGCGTTCGGCTCTTTCCGGCAATCACGTCGATGAACTCGTCCAAAAATAATGACGTCACAGGGATTTTCCGAGTAGGTTTCTCATATAGATGAGTCATCCAGAAGCAATGAACATCAGTACCGAATACGATTTCCTATAAGCTCGCGTTGATTGCTTACCGGTGGACTCAAACTGAGGGATCTGATACTAGAAGAACCACACGTAAACAGCCGAGAGGGAGGAGAGGGAAGGGCTAAACGATTTCGGCCACTTTTCAAGATGGCGGCTCCTGAAAAGCCAAGTGGTAATCAAGGTACATAGAAAAACAACTGGGAATCCGTTGAATTGGGATCGCTATTTTAAGATGTGTGACTCATTGAGTTGTATGACTTCACAGCAATGCTACTTAACTAATGTTACTACTTTAAACACACACATTTTATGAATGAAATCGGTGACAAATAGTGAACTAATTGGTTATATGTTGGGATATTCCGGGGATAATTCTACAAGGAAGTCCGAATAATAAAAAGTAACTTGAATATAAAACATCTTAATAATCACTCAGAAGGGAAGAAAAAATATGTTTTATTGGTTTTATTTGTAAATGTCAGAGTTTTAGAAATTAAAAATCCTACGAAATGTGTTGTAATTGATTGCATGAATTAGGCTTTATAATCTCTACCAGGGCAATTCCATTAAAACTGGTTTTAAATATTTCAAGATTTTATTTTCATACCATCACAAGTTGGCCCTAGCTAACATTAGGTAGCGTTGATGAATGTATAGAATATGTGAAGATACACCCTGATGTGGCTTTAGGCATTATTAATTTAGTAACCACAATTTTGAAATGGAAAGGACAATTCCTATATATTGTGCTCAGATCCTAAAGCAGCATTACTAGTCTAGATCTAGATGTAGAGTTCAGATGCCCCAGTTGTAATCCTGGTCTAATAATGACTATACATTTGATTTTCCTCAAATTAATACAAAGTGGGGCCTATGACTACACTGACTAAGTTAGCGTATGTTTCAAGGACTATCATCTGAGGAGTCTACTATGATAATAATATTGTCTTTCGGGGGGCACACTCTGAATGGTTGAAGGTTGGTAGCAGATAGTAGCCAGGTATTACTAGTGACCATGTCTTTTAATTAAATTTGATCAGAGAGTCTTCAGAGTATCTTGAGTTTGGAGTTCCATGGTTCAAATCCCGGTCTGGTGGTGTGGTTGGGTGGCACAGTGGATAGCGCACTTGTCTTTCACCAAGACGACTGAGGCTTGATTCCCCGATTGGATGTGAAAAGTTTTTCCTCCCACATTAAGACCCCCTCCCTCGCACGCTTACATCTCGGCCCACAAGAGTGATTAATATAAGTTCTAAAGACTTGTTTCATAACTGTTGTGAAATGAATAAATCTAAAGTTTATTAAAAAAATTATCAGTCTGGTCCTGTTGCAATTATCATCTCCTTTTACAAACGTATTAAATGAACATCATGTTGGATCACTGACTCATATATAATGTCATTCTTTGGTTAAATCCTGGACCCCTTTGTCGTGTACAAACAATAAAATGATATGCCATCTCATCCCCATTGTCGTGTATGTATACGGCAAGAGACTTTGGTGTTACCTGTATAATGTTTAGCTTGTTATAACACATGGTTATAGTGGTGGTCTCCAATGTAAACAATATGGCGGCTACTCAATTCGATACCAATAGTTGTAATTCATCACCAAATATTTATTGAGACTTATGGAAGTGAATATGGATATTTTGATATAAGTCTCTATAAAAGCTGTTTGTATTTAGAAAAAAAACTAAAAAGACTTCATAACCTAAATCAATCCCCATTGGGAACCTGCACAACAACAATGTTTTGAATACATTGTATCGTTTGTTGCCAGACAGATATTGATTTCTCGTTCATAATCAGATGCCAGTTAGTCATTATGCTATGAAGATGTGTATGTCTAGATCTATGAACAACAATATGAAACAGTAACAACATTTCCTTACAGTTACCTGTTCATTTCTTGCAGCAGTTTCACTGTCTAAAAAGTACATTAATAACTCGCTATTTTGTTATAATATATGTGCGGGGACGAGTCTATTAAGAACATTCGGTAAGGAATCCGGACCGGAGTTGTGGTATGGAAATATTTAAAATAATCTGGTTAGAATTAAGTGATCTAAATATTGCATTGTGAAATTGTAAACGTTTTGTGTACATTTCAGAATTACGGAAAAAGCTGCTGATCAGTTTTACACCAGAAAACAACAGACCGCCACAGCCACAGACTCAGATGCCAATATCCCAACTGGACTTATTAGGGTACCAAACACAGAGGTATAAACACAAAGCTAAGGGACCTTTTAACCCAGTACTACAGGTCTGTTAGTATACCAGACAAATATATATAAACAAAGTGACATTATAACACCACCTGTACCAGACAGAGACAGACATTAGAGCTTCGCTAACCCTTTCACCCCTATGTAACTTTAGTCGACTCTACCATACATTGATATGTATGAGTCCATTATTGTCTATAGTGGTGAAAGGGTTAATCGAATTAAGTATGCTGCCACCACAATTTTGTATCTATACCTAGTTGTGGCAGCAGTGACCGAGAGGTTAAGGCGTCTGACCATCTTCGATCACTAGTTCAAATTCACTACTGGTTCATAAGTTTGTAGCCTACATGCATGGGGCAGTTGCCAGGTACTGACTGAAGGGTGGTGATTTTCTTACACCACCAAAACCTGGCTTGTCCCTAAATGACCATAGCTGTTAAAAAGACATCAATTAAAACAAACCAATATATGTATCCAGTAGAATACTGTGGCATTGTTAAAGAAGGCATTTACAATATTAAACGGAGATTGTATCATTTATATGCTTTGTTAAACATAGGAAAAGGTTCTTAGCAGCATTGGTGAGTTTCAAATGATTTCATGATATAAAGTTTGATGGTAAATATGTCTTTTGCTTAGTGCCATTATTTATATTATTATAGTCCAGAATCAACTCCCATATTCAATTTATTAGCTGACAAGAAATCTTTGTCATGTGTGTTTAAATATTGTGTATTTCAGTGCAGTAGAAGTGTGTATTGTATATTGAAAAGATGGGTAATAGTTATCATATCATGGTATCACATGTCTTTTTTCCCAGGGAACGAATGAATGTTAGATCACACATGTTGCAGACAACAGGAAAATTACAAATAGGAGATAAAGTAAGTTCATAAATCAAGTATGATTCATATACAGAAAACATGTTTTAAGTTTTCCTTTTGATATATTTATATGGGAATATGATTTTAAAACAAATAATGGCTTTTAGGATGACTTGGTTATATTACTGGACAGTTTTTACCTGGACCCCAATAGATTCTTACAAATTGTAGACATTAATAAGTCTGGTGTCAGGGCTAGAGAAAACTCGGGCTATACCATATATAATTCATGTGTGGTAGAAGGCAATATACAGGTATGTTGAAAGTGTTCTGTATGAGGATATTAGTTCACGTTATTTCACACTGCAGTAAAAAAAAAAAGGCTTTTCACTTGATTTATATTTCCCACATATTTCGATGCTAGATTTGTAAGACATTTTGTTTCCTTATTGATTTCAGTTTTTAACTTTTAACTAAGCTCCATCTTATTGTTGTTTTCAGACATACGATTTTACCGCCGATGATTTAAAAGAATTAACTGAAATAGGAAGAGGAAACTATGGCTATGTCACAAAAATGGTCCACGAGGTTAGCAGTACTGTGATGGCTGTCAAGGTGAGTATACTGTGTTTCACAGGGGAAACGTGAGGTCAGCAGTACTGTGATGGCTGTCAAGGTGAGTACACTGTGTTTCACAGGGGAAACGTGAAGTCAGCAGTACTGTGATGGCTGTCAAGGTGAGTATACTGTGTTTCACAGGGGAAACGTGAGGTCAGCAGTACTGTGATGGCTGTCAAGGTGAGTAAACTGTGTTTCACAGGGAAAAAGGAAACACTTCATGAGAAGTGTGAAGAGAGACTGGACTAGATGACTCCTAGTTATTAGATAGCTCAGTAGTTAGTTAGAGCACTCATCCTAAGGTAGAAGGCCCAGGGTTTGAATCCAAACTGGTCTGTTACAATGGTGCCTGTGACCAGCCTTTGTTTCAAGTAATGTGTGCACGCTTGGCAAGAGGATGTTTGACTTTTGATTGCATTGTAAAAAGTGTAGTTTTCAAGGGCAAAAACAAAACAAGGGAGGGAGGTGTCAGTGAGTGAGAGATAGATAAAAAAAATCTTAAAACATTTGCTATACAATTCACACTGCAGGTGCTGGTGGCACCAGGCCCTTAGATAGAAACATAACATTGTTGATAGGACAAAGTGATGTATTTAATTTGCTTGGTTAGTTCCAATATTTCCAGGGTACATAGAACTGATGAGAAATTTCATTGTTTTGCCAGCGAATACGTTCCACAGTAGACGAACGGGAACAGAAACAGCTGTTGATGGATCTGGAGGTTGTCATGCGGAGTAACGACTGTCCATTTATTGTACAATTTTATGGAGCCCTTTTTAAAGAGGTTTGTAAATTTTCGCTCAATATTTTAATTGTCTTTCTGATGCAATTAGTGGCTGGGTTGTAGGAGACGAATGAAAATAAAAACAAATTATGATTATTCTTCGAAGATAAGAAATCACACATGCTATTTGTACCTATCCAACCATTGGTTGGTTTTGTATTTTCTCTTTTGATAAAAACTGTTTATATGTTTTTGCAGGGTGATTGTTGGATATGTATGGAAGTGATGGATATTTCCTTAGACAAATTTTATAAATACATTTACTGTGTCGTGTTCAGTTCAATACCAGAGGACATCTTAGGGAAAATTACCGTTGCGGTAAGTACAAGCATCAAACTATAGTGATGACTGATGAGAGCATTTGTGTCAGGACACTTATTGATGTGACTGTGTGTATGCAGACAATGAAAAAATGAACATGAAATAAAGAAACAGGTAAAAATTGTGCTGCCATAAGTTTGTTAATTCCTTTCTTTTCATCACAGTTATTTATCAGTTCTCCTGACTGGGCATTCAAATGACAGCCAATATTCAACTAGTGAAACCCTAGCAATCTAAACTAGATAATTGAGTCTAATGGAAAGTTATGAATTGTATCGGATATCAAAATCATAGTTTCTTTTTTAAATGGTTGAAAATCTTTTTTCATTTTCAGACTGTGAAAGCTTTGAATTATTTAAAAGAATATTTGAAGATCATACATAGAGGTAAGTTGATCTATTAAGGAACACATCATCACATAACATTAAATTGATTGATTTTTATACTCTACTACTTAGGGTGAATAAAATACTATTATAATTGAGATATCCTAACAATGAGTAGCACTAAAACATGGTGCATGTTTGTTGTTACAAATTAGCTTGTTACATTATAAGTTGCTACAGAATCAAGCTTGATTCATAGATAAACTTGGATAAATATATTTATTATATTTTTGCCAGTGAAATATTGGATGCTATCAACTTGATAAATCTGATATCTTTCACACTGTGACAAAAATCAAATGTGAAAATATCACTTTTTGGTATTGACCAATCATAACGGTATCTTCTATTCGCTGCATTCAAAGTCAACAATTGTTTTTGTTTAGATTCAAATGAAGCGGTAGAATGAGTTGTTGTTATGGTAAATGTTTGGTACACACACTTAAGTATTTACATAAATATACAATTAATAACATTTTTATAACCAATCATACCAGAAAATAGCAGAAAACGTCAGAATTGTGTTGAGTATCCCATTCAAAATGGCGAATGAAACCTATCTTATATATCTTATGTATTTTTGTTGTGGTGCTTGTTCATCGGTGTTTCAACTGTCATCTGTTAACATTTGCATTAAACAACTTCTCTTTCCAAACAACATTGCAGATTTCAACCAAATGTTGTTGAAAGCATATTAGCCCATAATGTTCAAAATACTTGAAAATGAAGGGGCTGGCCCTTCTGAGAGTGAGCGGCAGAGTTAAAGGGGAATAAAATTGGCTGGTTTACTTTAAATGACATCTCTTCCCAAACTAGTGTGCCGGTTTTAACCAAATTTTGATGGTAATATCCTGGGTCTGTAGGTATCAAAATTATACGAATGAAAGGGCTGACCCTTTTTGGGGTCAAAAGGGGTCAAATTGGTGGTTGATTTTAGATGACAATCTCCTCCCAAATTACTCGGCATAATTCAACAAAATGGTTTTATAACCATCCTTGGCCCATGAGCAGAACTAATAAATAAAATGGCTAACATTCTTATAGGCTGGGATAATTTTGCGCTAAAAATTCTTCCCTTCTTAAATGCCCAGATGAGTGAATCAAAGCTTTTAGACTCTTTGTTTAAATTCATAAAAAAATCATTAAACCTACAATAGCATATATACTCTACATGGAATTATAACAGTATTAAGTTTTATATGGTCTTTGTCATTATATAAATCATGTATATGTTAATATAATTATAATCGATATTATTTTACAGATGTAAAACCTTCCAACATAATGTTAGACCGTAAAGGCAACATCAAACTCTGTGATTTTGGTATCAGTGGACAGCTGGTGGACTCAATAGCCAAGAGTCGAGATGCTGGCTGTCGGCCATACATGGCGGTAAGTACACTGTAGTGTTGTATTTCCTAACTTTCTTGTCACCTTGAGCTTATGCAATGGTGCAACATGCACTGTCATCTTTACCTTGAAAAATCTTCTTTTATGGAACTACGTGTCCTAGAGTCATAGCGTTCTGTGATGGAGGGCTCTAAAGCATCATGTTGAGTGTTCAAATAAACAATCTGAACTCATTTTCTAGGTTGAGTAGAGTCAAGTATGTTTAAAGCTTCAGGGGACACATACAGGAACAACCAGGGTCCAAATTCAATTAACATGTATTGTGTAGTTTGTAGTGAAAGGTAGTCAAGTTTGTTCAAATGAAAGAATGACAACCCACTTTCACATGTCATATGGGTCAAATCATTCAAATGTGCTCTAAAACTCAACAAACTTCTACTAAATAAAAGAGGGCTGTAATATTTCTCCTTAGGTTGTTGCATAATCTGTTGCACTAAACGGCTGTCAAAGTACAATCTGATCAATCACATTTAAGGTCACAAGGGTCAAATGTGTTAGGATCAAAACACAAAATCAAGCAAGTGGTTCAAGTCTGGCTTATCAATTCATTAATAGCAATGAACAGTATATGAAATTATTGAATTATTGAATTTTAATATTTTAAACTTGATACATTGTCGTAAACAAAACAAAATATAAACTTATTTGTGTCCACAGCCAGAGAGAATAGATCCAAGAGCGTCCAGTAAAGGTTACGACATTCGCTCAGATGTCTGGAGTCTGGGTATCACACTGGTAAGTCAACAGTTAACTGAGGCATTAGGGTCGTAATGGTGAGTGTCATATGTTGTCAGGCAAGTTATTACACATGATCAGATTGGTGCTTGTGAGATTTGAAGGGTGATATATCCTGAACCTAGTTTAATACCATGGATGCATTGCATACTTTCAATACACTGGTTTAACACGTAAGTATCAAGTGAAGTAAGAATTTGTGATGAAAGTGCCTAGACATTTGTAATGTTCATACAATGTGTCTAAATAAAAGTGCATCTGTTTATCAAGTGTTTTGTATTGATGTTGCATATTTCTTTGTTATATTTTCCTGTTCCCAATAACTAAATTCCTTGGTTTTTCTTTATTCTGTGCTAATAGATGGAGCTGGCCACCGGGAAGTTTCCGTACCCAAAGTGGAACAGTGTATTTGACCAGTTAACACAAGTGGTACAAGGCCCCCCTCCCCAACTCAAAGGCACAGAGGGCAAGTTCTCCGAGGATTTTGTCAATTTCCTCAACACATGGTAAATATCATTGATAAAATCTTGCCCTGCAAATCATATCACAGGAGTTCAGAGATTCTTTTATTGTAAAACTTTTGCTGTTTATATACCTCTTTGACTGGAGGTATTATCGTATGGTAATGTACATCTGTCGGTCAGTCTATTAACTTTACCTTACTTTTACCATAACTTCTAAACCAATTACTACCATTGTATTGCTTGTCTGAGTGTTACTTCAGAACTCTTGAGCATTTATGTATCAATTTTATGTATGTGTTATAACTAGAAGGTGTGTCAAAAGGTGAGGCACTTATAATGTATTCATTGCAACCATTCCACCAAGGTTACAACAAAAATACAGTTCAACACCATATGCATTAGTTGTGTTGACCTGTGTCCTTATCACAATTTATTACATAATGTACTGTGTTATCCAGTGAATATACCCATGTCATATTTTTGGGGTATTAACCCATGTAATATGACCTATCAGCCCTGTGATTGGTTGTAAGTTTCAATTGTGACGTCACGCCTATGACAAGTACATGACGTCACAGACTTGCGCAGTGGATTCAAAATGGTGGCTTTTTACATTTCAATGTTGCATGGAAATTGTCATTTTACACGAATAAATGCCACAAATCTTGATTATGTGATAAAAAGGATCTTACACTCGTTTTTATTTCATATGAAATTTATAAAACTCGTCACAAATTTTTCATTTTAGCTCGCCAGAGGCTCACTAAATTGAAAAATTCTTAGACTTGTTTCATAATCTCATATGAAATGGAAACTCATAACTGTAAGATCCTATATATATAGTTGATTTTCTGATCCTGTACAAGCCACAAAACTGGTTTCAATATGAATATCCAAAGTATCTAAGGTACCTAATTATTTCCACCTCTGTTATGAGGCAAAGATGTAAAATCTATTCGTAACTTGCTATTCATGTTACATGGAAAAACATGCTTAAATCTTTGAGATGTTACTTACTTGAGAATAGAAAAACAAGATAAGAAATGTCAGTTATTGTGGAACCAAAACAAATTAAGTCCTTAGATTAACATATCTGTCTTTCATAATTAACTTTTTGAGATTGTATGGTTCTTAAAATGAACCTCTAAAGACAGTGCTGATAACATTTTGTTCATTTTGTAGTCTAACCAAGGATGAAAAGGAGAGACCAAAATATAACAAATTAATTGTGAGTATTCAAAAAGACACTATTCCGTCTTTGCGTATTGCAGAGTTATCTGCTCTTGAGAGCAGGTATTGATTGTTACCACCGGAACATCATTTGTTTGTGAGAGTAACGTCGTCACTTTTTGAGAAAACGATGTAATTTTTCTCACACAAACCAATGACATAACAATCAATACCTGCTCACAAGAGAAGATAACTTTGCAAATACGCAAAGACAGAATTTCAATGTTTATGTTGTTATATAAGGGATAACCGGTTGGAGCTAGTACAATAGATTAATGGTACCTCGTTTTTGCAACAGCAAAATAGCTGATAAATTTCCACAAATATGGAGGGTGATATCTGTTCTATAATTTTGACATTATCTGACATCCAAAATTTATACAAATCATCAAATTAGATCCAATCTTGTGTCACATTATTCCGATGTGAAAATACATTGTATATTGTGATTTTATATCTGCAGAATGTTCTGAGTAACAAATGAAATTCTTTGTTGCTACTTTACATTGTATTTTTTATTTTATTTTTAATGTACGGTAATAGATTAGTGTTTTATAGACGTCAAGTTTACTGCAATCTAACTAGGTGTGTAATTTTACTTAGCTATTTATTCATTTTCAGGAGCATCCTTTTATAAAGCGTTACGAGGAGTTGGAAGTTGATGTAGCAAGTTATGTCTGTAGTATACAAGACCAAATGAGGGATAGCTCTCATGAAACAGACCAACAGTATGCATTTTCCTTCTCGTGATAATGGGCCAAGCCTTTGGACACACAAACAGACACTTTGACTCGCAGGGTGCGTACGGCTCTGATGTACGCCTACGAATACACAGAGTAAACCAGTCTGCTGTGTCCGCCCACCCATGTTGTGGTATCCAGTAGACGGGCTTATTGTTCTATAGCTGTGGCTATATTTAGTTGGACAGAACACTGGAAGTTTAGTGTTATAATCCGTGACTACAGTCAGTGAGTGAGAGTGGATAGACTATCACCTATGCAGATTTTTTACAACAAATTGCAAAATGCAGGAGAGGCTGTTCCTTCACACAATATGCATGCTCTTATAGATCATTTTTTTCTATCACAGGAGAAACTGTTGATTCACAAATCATGCAAACATTTTTACTCTTCACCTAACTTGTACATTCTAACAAATAGTATCACAATTTGTTGGTATAGAGGACTGCATTTTAGCGATCAGATTCAAACAAAGTGGTGACATTAATAAGATCAAAGGTTTTAAAAAAGAAATCCTGTTCATTTTCAAGGCTGGTACAGAATCCCAATTCCTCCACAAAATCTCATATTAAACTATTAATTGATACTACTTTCAAAGCATTTGTGAGGACAGGGAACAGCTTCCAATTTGTTGATTGATTGCTGAGCTAAACAAAGTTGCAATTATTTAATTGTCATTTAAGTGAGAGAGGAGAAAACATTTGTTTACTTTTGACTTTAATAAGAGAGAAGCAAACAATCTTGTTTTCCTGTTTGTTTAACATGAGTGAAGAAATACGGCTAATGAGTCCTAGAAAATTTCATGATATGCATGTATGAACTGTAATTGCAGTATTTTAGAGCTCTTCACCATGATGCCATTGTAGGTTCTTACGTTCCACATGAGCCTGTAGCCATCAGACATTTGGTGATGGGGTTATAGTGTTTTGTATTGTTGCTAAAATGATGTGTGTGGATGTGAGCATGTGGGCATGAATTCTGTCTTGACACTATCACTGTGGAGATTAGTGAGTAATCTCACCTTTTAAAGTACTTGGTGATATTCTTTGCTATTCATAGACAGCAATACACAGACAGTTTAATTTCTATAAGGGAAATTGTATTGTTAAAACTGTTAAAAGAATGCCTTGTATTGTACATGCATATTATTTATTGTAGTATATAATTTGAAGATGCAGCAGGAAGGATTATAAAACAGTACAAAGCTGACCTTGTTTAGGTTACACCATAGGGAGTATTTATAAAACAGCTGATTTAGTTTAGGTTACACTACAGGGATGGCAGTAAAAACAGTACACAGCTGATTTAGTTTAGGTTACACTACAGGGATGGCAGTAAAAACAGTACACAGCTGATTTAGTTTAGGTTACACTACAGGGATGGCAGTAAAGACAGTACACAGCTGGTTTAGTTGAGGTTACATTACAGGGATAGCAGTAAAGACAGTACACAGCTGATTAAGTTTAGGTTACACTACAGGGATGGCAGTAAAGACAGTACACAGCTGACCTAATTTAGGTTATACTACAGGGAGGGCAGTATAAAACAGTACACAGCTGACCTTGTTAAGGTTACACTACAACAGGGAGTGAGGGCACTCAGGGCAGTATAAAACAGTACACAGCTGATCTAGTTTAGGTTACACCACAGGGAGTGCAGTATAAACCAGTAAATAACTGACCTATTTGAGGTTACACTACAGGGAGGGCAGCATAAAACAGTACATAGCTGACCTTGTTAAGGTTACACACAAGTTATATCAGAACATCGAATGTCTCGGTGAATCAGTTAGCAATAAAGGAGATGTGTGTGATTTTAATAAGAAATTGTGTTGTTTTAAATCTAAATGATGCATATAATGGATCTGAATTGAACAAAGAATGACTTAAATATTCCAGTACAAAATTGACAAGATTATTTTTTTATGTACAATGATTAGTAATTTGTGTCGTTTTGAAGGTATCAACTTTAGAAATGTATATTGGTTAATAGTCTGCTGTTTAGACATTTGTATACCATGTATTCCTATCGTAATGTGTAAATGGTATCAGATTATGTGGACTATACTGAACTGATCACCTAACTTTCCTTATTTAAAGTTTCAAGTTAAAAAAAATGTAAATATATTTCTTTAAATCTAATAATGTTGTGATGTTTTGCTGTACTACAGTTTGAAAATTAATTCAAAATATATATTTGGTGGTTCAGTGATGTTAAAAGCTGATTAGATGAAATCAGATCAATGGAAATGATTATAAATCTAACCAAACGGGGCATATTTTGTCACGAAACAAAATTCTTTATTTGATCATAATGTACATCTTGCTAAAAATTGCTCTGCAACCATTTCAAGTAACCTTTTGCAGTTCAAAATGGGAATTTTTTAAAAACCATTAAATTATAAAATTAGTTGTACTACTGTATCTACTGACTTAATGTAAAACTAATATGTGCCGGTTTAAGACTGTTCCTCCAAGAGGTCTGGGTGGAGTACTAGTTTTTATCACATTTATAGTGTGATGTTTTTTATGTCAAAATATGGTGTGTAATATCTAAAAGAATCAGTGGCATCAGTATATGTGCATGTTTCAAAACATTTTCCATTTAACTTTACCTTCTCAAATAGACCTCTTGCTGTATTGAAGGGGTTGTTTGAGAGGGTGTTATATTCCATTAAACTGTTGGGGTGTCAATCTTGACATTGAGCAATGATCTGTGTGTTGAGCAGATGTGGGTGTGTTCCCTGTGAGCATGAATGATGTATGATGAACCAAAGTTGGCATGCCCCGTAATCCGCTGTAGTACGTGTATACCATGGTATCATCATGCCCCGTAATCCGCTGTAGTACGTGTATACCATGGTATCATCATGCCCCGTAATCCGCTGTAGTACGTGTATACCATGGTATCATCATGCCCCGTAATCCGCTGTAGTACGTGTATACCATGGTATCATCATGCCCCGTAATCCGCTGTAGTACGTGTATACCATGGTATCATCATGCCCCGTAATCCGCTGTAGTACGTGTATACCATGGTATCATCATGCCCCGTAATCCGCTGTAGTACGTGTATACCATGGTATCATCATGCCCCGTAATCCGCTGTAGTACGTGTATACCATGGTATCATGTAGCTGTGATAGGAGTGCGAGTTGCTGTGGATACATCCTTTGAAACTTCAGCAGACATCTGCAGCGTGATGAGTCTGAGTCAGCTGTTGGTAAACCTCTTTGTAACATTTGGCAGTGGATCTGTTTTCTGAGCGTCTGGGGACCTATTCTTATCAACATTGAGCAGATAACTGTTATGTGGTGAGAAATTGTAGAAGTGTTCCTTATGATATTAAAAACAGATCTGTTTATTGACAGACTGTGGGTATGTCTCTGGTAGCAGTGAGCAGGGATCTATACACATGCTCATCTATACACATGCTCCTTACATCATGCAGTGTTGTGTGATGAACAGCAATATCAAACCATTCATGTTTTCCTGTGCACCATCGCACAAAATGCATGCCTTTGTGGTGTGTTCTTTGTGAAGTGATCGGAGGGGCTTCTGACACCGAGTAGTGATTTGCTGTGTATTGAAACAATATGGTAGTGATCTGGTTTGAAGAGCACAGCCTTTTGACACTTATCAGTGACCTGCTGTGGGGTTAGTAGCTCATTTGGGCATGCCTTCCATGTTGTTCAAGATGCATGTGGACGTGAGAGTAAAGATGTATTTGGATGCTAATTGATTTTGTATGTGGCTGCATTAGATGGATTTTTTTATGCTGATAAACAGGTTATTATGCCAATTTAATACTACTATGATACATGTATGCAATTTTTTTTAATTATTGTATAACTTTGAATATTATAACCATATCTATACCATGACACAGTAAGACAAAGACTTGAAATATTTTCTCGGTGTGGAAAATGTTCTTTATTGGATAAGCCCTTTTTGCACTTAGTCATAATGAGTTAATAACAAGTAGGATTTTAGCGTGGAATCTTGTGAAATAATCCTGTTTGTACTGTATATGATCTGTATTCTGAGCAGGAAACCAATAAATCAGCACACACAGAAACTGTTTGAAAGTTCACAAAAGGGCAGCATAATTACCATATTACCCTTTGTTAAGAGCTGTCTTGGTCAGTGTCCGTGTCCTTTCTCCATACAGGACCTAACCTCTGGTTCAATCTGATAATCTCAATCATATGATTAACACTTTATATAGCCATGATTACAAATCAGTGTCTCCTCACATATCTTTATAATGCTGAAAGATTTAATTTCCACCTTTGACCCCATTGGTCAAGGTCATTTGTTTTTTTCACAAGTTTTGTAAGCATTCTGTTACAATGAAATTTCTAGCTACATAGTGCTGAGACTGGTCACTATGTTGTAACTATTTCTATCTTCTCAATATAATGTTATTTAGCTACAAAGTGCTTTACCTAATTACATTACATTGTTAATGATTTATTTGTGCAAAGAAACATGATGGTTGATTGTTAATACAAAATTAAATGAAATGCAGAAACAAGTTTTTCTATTATTTGTTATAATTGAACTCGTAATATATTCAAAATTCATGTATATTTTCAAAATTGTATTTCAAAAACATTGATTCAAATAATTGATGTATGTTTGAGGTTTTATGTCTTCCCTACAGGTCTTGACAGTATTCACAGATTATCAACAACCTCCCTGGGGTTTGTGGGTGGGATCCAAGGAGGTTAGGAGAATCAGGGGGTTTGTGGGTGGGATCCAAGGAGGTTAGGAGAGTCCGGTGGTTTGTGGGTGGGATCTAAGGAGGTTAGGAGAATCGGCCAACAACTGCTATAGAATAGAGAAAACATCGCTTTGTCTGTTTTCTACCTTATACCAGATATACATATACGTTGGTCACACCCTAAGTTATTTTGTCAACGATCCCACTGTTATATTTATTGATTATGATTTCATGTCACCTTACAACAACAAATATATATATACTTATAGCTGAGGTGACCATTACATTGTAATGTCCCTAGGCCTTCAGGTTCATATCAACGTTGCTGATATTGGTTAAAAGCAAAGGAGCTTGTTTAAATCTGCACCATTGGTGAATCAATACTGTTTAATAACAAAGAAATTGCTTTTAAATTTTGGTAAATGTTGGTAACATCCATTCAGCATCAATTCCTTTAACCCTTACCATAGATTGGAAGAGGCATGATGTGTTTGCATTTCCATCAGTCCGTACCACAACCTAGTTAGAACCTGTATTTAGTTCTATTACTTTATACTAGAAGCCCAACAGTAATCAAAGTTAATGTGTGGATACATCTTGAGGAGTACTACACCAATATATCCAATGTAGGTCACTGTGACCTATATTTTGTTTGACTTTGCATAACATAATGTATTTGTTTTGTTTAGTCTTAGCATTCAGCTTTATTTTCATCAAACAGGAGCCTGGATATATGTGTGCTTTGCAAAGCATTCTTGAGTACCACATTGCCTATTTACTCCCCCACCAATTACCTGTAAAAGGTGAGGGGGATTCTATAGGTTTGCACTCTCTCAGTAAAGTTTGACTGAGGCATATCTTCAATACTCATTCACTTGAAATAACTAGATTTGCTATGCAAGTACAACTTAAGACTGCCTAGCGAAGTGTCAAAAAGTAGGTTACAGTGATGTATGCTTTGACCTCAGTTTTAACATGTTATTAATGTTCATCCCGAGTACCAGATTTGGTATGAAAGTAAATCATGGGATGGTGGAGAGCACAGCACAAGAAGCAGGTCACTGTGACCTATCCTTTTACCTTCCCATTTGAAATTTTTGTTGGTAGCACATCTCCTTTACTATTTCACCAGCATTATCCAAATTTAGATTGCATGTATACATTTATGGTGGTGGAGTGCAGTTTACGAATAGTTTGTCAATGTGATATAGGCTCAGACCTCAATAACTGATAAAAACTATGTCCAAATCTGATCTTCTGGAGTAACCAAATTTGGTATTTATAATACAGAAAGGGTCAAAAAAGGATTTGACCACACATATCTACACCATCAAATTCGGATATGTTGAGGAAGAATTCAACGGCAAAATGATTTCCTAGATTTCCTATTGGTAAAGAAATATGACGGAACCGTGAAGGCCTCATCACCGATCCTTAGCACCATGATTTAGCCATAGTACACACGTTGCGCACTGGATGTGGCATGGTTGTCACAGAGCAATGGGACAAAATGCAAGAGCAGACATTTTGATACTAGTATATCCGAATTGTGCACTATAAAGGGGTACGAGAATAGTTTCAAAGTAAGGAGAAGAACAAGAGAATGCCAATTCAGGAGAAGAATAAAATAAAATTCCAGTGGTCATCCTTTATATCAAAGGATATATCTGAAACCATCCAGAGAGTATATCGCGGGCATAGCAATAGCTAACGATAGAATACATTGTATAATGCGTGCAGAAAATGCAGAAAATCGAATGCAAGAACTGCGACGGATCATATATCTGAGAAACTGGGCGGCGATTTCGGGTCTGACATGGTGAACACTGGAAGAATACGGAAACCCAAGAGGGAAAGACATTCACGCGATCAGAGAGGAAGCAGTCGGAGTCACAGGTAAATAAAATTGGCAACCACATGCCATGCCCCACAGCAACATCATGTTATATACTAGGATGTATCGAAAGAATGAGAAGACAGCGAGAAAAATATGTTTAAGCGGCAGATAAAGGAAGCCATCTGGATGCTACCGCAGCAGGTCAGTTCTGAATCCAGGTGAGTGACCTCATAGACTCGCAGATCTATAATCAGGTATTAAACAAAGCGTAACCATTTGATTATCCTTTGTCCTTTTGGATGCTAGGTGTCTTGCTTTAACTTCAGTTTTACGTACAGTTGCTACCTTCAGTTGCTACCATGTAGCAAAGTCTGCATATCTCTTAACCTCCGTATCTGACGCTTATGCGCCAGTACTTCCCTCTGTGTTAAATATGACTCTACTGCAGACCATAGCCAATGATACTGTCTTCTTTGGTCTAATAACAAAATAGCGGTGGCATCACTTTTGCTACTTTGGTCATCCTGTCGGTCTCCATTTGTGGTGTTAGCAGACAGAGATACATGGTTGCTAAGGATGAGTGTCGCTCAGTCAAGATTCCCTGCTGATCCTGCATGACAATATCAGCAGCTCTGTTTATGGAAGATTCAAAAGTAGATTCGGTATCTCTGAAATGTGGAAAAGCTAGAATCTCGTTATGTAGTGTTGCCTGATCCACGAAGAAAGAGAATCTTGAGCCAGCGGGTCCGACATTTTCTAAAACCATTAATCCTGGTAGTGAAAGCGAAGCTCTTCTATTATTTAATCTTGAACAATGTTTATCATTAGTCTAGTGCGCATGTTCTTCTTTGAAACTTTTGATTCCAACAATCTTGTATGACTCATCAGTATTGTGGCTTCTCTTTTAATTTTCTTGTTAACAGCAACATCCATCAACTGAAGAATATTAGCCATTTTTATTTTGAAGTATTTTTCTTCTTCTTGCCGAATGGGATGTTTTATTAGCATAGTGTCGATACTCCAGCGCCGGGTTGGTGAAAAGCTAAAATTTATTTTCAATTCAACATATTTTATAACATTAAGAATTGGTGGAAGAGTCCGCATTATACGTTCTGTGAAAGGATGGCATGTCGGAAGCTAAATGTGATTTTCGCTCAGATGGATGGATTGAATTCATGCTCTTATTGTCACAGTCACTGATTCGCCGTATGTAATTGGCATGGGATCCACTTGTCCGGCTTGTGTTGACCGTATGGAGATGGTTGACAGGGACTTCTATACTGTTGTTGAGGCTTTTATGAAACATGACCACGCTGTTCCCATCTCTCTAATGCTCGAATGTTTCCTAGTTCAGCGTCTGTAACATATGTGTTACACGTCCGAGATCTCTGGAGTAGTAATCCCAAGTAGCAAATCTGGCAGCCTGGCGTTGAACATTCTCAAGTCGTTACATCTATTTTGTAACGGTTTGTGCCTTGACTTTCTATGGGCAACTCCTTCGGTTCCGCCTTAAAAATCCAACAGATCTTGCAGCTTTGGCTTATGTTTGACATACGTGCCCTGTCTCAAGAGGTCATGACTAACGTGGACGCTAGGATATTTGCTGCCTTGGACAATTTCAAAATCGTAGCCATGCATATGTGGTAACTTGCATTGACTAGCTTCCGCTTTCGTGTTGTTCTGATAGTGATACACATTTGAAGATGGAATGGCATTTGCAATTGAGTTGTTTCGAGTCCTACAAGAGCTCGTATGTAGCTTGCCGAGTCGTAACTGCTATTGATCGGGCGATGAATCAAGCAAGCGTAGGCAGAGAGTTTCACCTGTGAAGACACAATGCTTAAGAGGTCATTTAAAAAAGGCTAAGAATGGGAGGAGGGGCCATGCCATTGTCTTTGGGCACCCCGGTTGTTACGTCCGCCGTTGCTAACTCACAACCTTCTACCCAGACATGACGTTTACTGTTGTTTAGGTCCCACTTATCCTGTAATAGTGTAGCTTTGTGAGAAGCCGTTGGTGTAGGGGTGACATCTATTTGTTTGCCAGATATTGTACTGTGACTATCTGCTGCGTCTCGCATGACTCTGAAATCCATTGTGTTCATAAATCGTCCGTTAAGATGTAATGATTATTTAGTTTTTTTTCTGTGGGGAAATTGGATGGCTGATCGTGCCCCGCCTTGGGACAAGTCCCAACAGTTTGGGGTAAATTCGGCCCAATTTCGGGATCAAGACGCCGTAAAGAATATGCAACGTCAGATTTTCCCGCCACTGTCATGACTTTCCATGAGTTGCCTTGGCCGAACCTGCTCCAAATTGATATTTCAGTCGTTTATTACAGCAATATATATAATGTTATACCATCATATTATATTACTTATGACACAAATAAGTAGCAATTTGCTTTACTAAAAGTTTTCAAAACTAGGAAGAGCCTAGTGAGGTCATTGACTTGATTTTCTTTAGTACACTAAAAACGTTGCTTTATCCTTTTGGTGTCTTTTATAATTAAGTTTCAATCTCATTTACATTATACTTGTATTTGTCCAAGACCCAAAATATCAGTGTTGGTCCTGGAATTACCCCGGGGTGAACTTGCCGAAAACTTCCCTACTGTATATTATATATCAAAAGCATGATATGATACTTCCGTTACTGAGTTAACATTAAGCAATTAACAGTCAAATACTTTGTGGTGACTTGTCTGCATATTAGTGGTCGGAGGCGTATACCTGTTAATTTGGCAAACTTTCAGGCTAGGGTTTGGGGGCTGCCTAGGCATACAGTGCGTCCGGGGTAGAGGAATAGTAAAGGGCTCAGGGGGCAATCCCCGCACTAGAAAATGATTCGAAGATTTTAAATACTATCGGGCGTCAGAATGACGTATTTGATAACGTCAACATCAATCGAGAACTGTTAACGCTTTCAATATATATGTGAAATTCAAACAAACAAGAGAGCCTAGAAGGATCATGGCGCTCATCATCAAAGGATCTTTGTCATATCTACAAAAGATTGTCTTTTACCTTCCTTGCTCTTCATTTTACTTACAGGTTCTTTTACCCAGTCCCAGGTTGGAAAGCTTAAACGGGGATCTTGTACATTTACTCAATTCTCGTAATGCCATATTCCACTTGCCACTATGACAAATATACCTATATGCAAAATAATGAAAAATTGTAATTATCACATAATAAGAAGTGCTGTCAATGACGGATGAATTATCATTAGGGCCAGATTTTTTAACACGGGAACAATTAAGGGGAACTTACATATTTTTTTTTATTGATAACAAAATTGAAATTTCAAAAATTCAATATAGCTGTCTGGTGGTCATCTTGGTGTTCCCATCAGTCCCAAAATTCTTTGGGAACCCTCGTGTGAAATTTGAGAAAGAGCATCGATCGAGCTCTTTCTGAGAAATAGCACTAACAATCTTAAACCCTCAAAATTCTAGATATGGACACCTGTCAACCATCTTAGTTTTTTCGGATCGTTCTCAAAATTCGAAAGGCGTAATAAGGAACCATGGAGAATTTTCCTGTAAAATTTGAGCAAGATCCCTCCTGGGCTACATTCGCGTATCCCGCTTGAAACAAAGGGACATGAGAATTTGTTACCTAAACTAAGTCGTTTAGAGCAGGGACGTATAGTGAAGGGGATTAGCAACTCCCTCTCTGCCTTACCAATTTTCTGACACGTCAATCTAGACTTACCTCCCCCTGATTCCGGAGTAGATAGCGAGCGCCACCTATCTCAATTTTGACAAAGCAAGATGGCGTCGATACCGCTTCGTTAGATGCAGAAGTTGGTGTGAAAACAAACCAATCTCGATAAGTGTTCTTACGTCTTTTGTTTATCCAATTGTAATAAGCTGATTGTATTACTTTTAATTGATAAAATCTGTGGTATCATAGTAATTGATGTCTCGTTTTTGGGGTATATTTTTCTATTTTTAAACGCGATGTAACGCGTGGTTCAGAGTATTGTGGTGGGCCTCGATAGACAAAAATGCGGGATAAAAAAAACACACATGTATGTGAACCACCTCACTCCAAAAGTATCTGACCGATCTTTTTTAAATTAGCAGCAATAGAAAGCTGAATAAATTTTATAACGACACAACCCATTTTAATTGCAAATAACATAATTTAACTTGTGTTATTTTTGTGTCAAAAAGACTAAATATCAGCATTATTTTTCACTGGAACGTAAATCATTATTGCGAAAGTAGTTGGTGACTGCTCACTGTTTTGATTAAATTTTATAAACTCTCGATTATATTTTTTAAAACAATTAATATCAATAAACAGCTGGGTAATTTCTATGTTAAGTAGGCCTGATTTGATTTGCATTACTTGGAACGATAGCGATGTCACAGATGAAATTACTCGTCTGGTAACGAAGGACACGTGTTGTTAAAAACCCTAAACAAAAATGCGGGATAAAAAAACCCACACATGTATGTGAACCACCTCACTCCAAAAGTATTTGACCGATCTTTTTTAAATTAGCAGCAATAGAGAGATGAATAATTTTTATAACGACCTAACCCATTTTAATTGCAATTAATATAATTTAACTTATGTTATTTTTGTGTCAAAAAGTGTAAATATCAGCAATATTTTTCACTGGAACGTAAATCATGGCGAAAGTAGTTGGTAACTGCTCACTGTTTTGATTAATTTTATAAACTATCGTTTGTATTTTTTAAAACAATTAATATCAATAAACAGCCGAGTAATTTCTATGTTAAGTAGGCCTGATTTGATTTGCATTATTTGGAACGATAGCGATGTCACAGATGAAATTACTCGTCTGATAACGAAGGACACGTGTTGTTAAAAACCGTAAACAACCGGAAAGGTTAAACGCAACAAAAAAGTATCGCCTGCATTCGAGGATCAGCTCATTTAAAAAAGACTTCTTTTTGAAATTTACAGCGATAGAAAGTTGAATAATTTTTTGATATGTAGTACTAATTTCCATGGCAAAAAATAACAAATAACTTTTTCTGTTTTTGTGTCAAAAAGTGTCAATATTAGCATCATTTTCACTGGAACGTGCTTTACGAAATGTGATTTGTTGTAATAGCCACCAACACAGCCGAAAGGCAACGATAGCCCTGTCCCTGGAATAAAAAGAAGACCTACTAATACACAGTCCCAATTAGGGCTAACCGTTATCAAAACACTTCGATCTCGGCGAGATTGTGACATGACACCGAAAGCAGGTGCGTGCTTAATTTTAACGCTAGTGCGCAAGCGTGGGCTGGTCGAGAGGGGCTCTCGATGACTTCGCGGTTCGGTGAACAAACACAAAAGCGACGTGCTGTAGAATCTTGACTGGGGCAGAGTTGCCAATCCCCTCTATATACTGTCCCTGTTTAGAGTAATCTAGATTTTTATATGATCATTGGGGTGGCATTTTTTTCGAAAATCGATCTAAACCCTCAAACGTGTAAACTTATTCTAAACATCTCAGTTTAGGTCCAAATTATCAGGTCCCTGTGGATTGCACGGTGGCGCAGAAATATTCCACGATACACGAATGCACTCGGACCGTTCTGTAAGAAGAGCTAAAAATGCACAGTTTCGGATAATAAAAAAACATTGTATAAGAAGCCCTTCTTTCATCCGCCCACTGAATTACGTAACGTATCTTAAAAACTACATGTGACTTGACATCGTTTTAGAAAGAAAAAACCAAAACCGGCAATAGGCCTAGTCAGCATTTTAGTTTCGGTCAGGTACGTCTGGACCCCTCAATCTACACGTGCCGAATTTTCCTGAGGTCGACCACTAACAATTATTCAATTAATTTTTAACTCTCAAAATTCAAAATGGCCGACTGTCGGCCATCTTTCAAAATTCGACCCATAAGGAACCTAGCTGTTGTATGATTCTGCGCCTAGCCGGAATTGGCCGAGAAGTTGCGATTGCGGAATGGTGATCATAAATGATGGTCCGGGAAATAGGAAAGACATCCTAAAAAAATATGTGTAGACAATGATGAAACAATAAGAGAATAAGAGAAATTGTATTAATTAGAATTTATGTGTAGGCTTGACAAACTTTTGGTAGCTACGCCACTGGTGGTACATGTATCTTAGCTCATCCTATAACGGCGAGACAATACGTGAAATCGCGTGTGAAATCTTATGCGCGTACGGGTTCGTAATCGATCACGCCGCTAATTCTAAGCGTCACAATGACAATGATCAAGGGGAAGAATGGGACAGAGCAGACGAATTTCCCTAGTGCGGACCAAGGAACTTTGGTCAGTAATCTACTAAGAAAATGTTCACTTTTAACTCTATACCAAGCAGGTAGATTTAGATAGCTTTAAGAAAACACCGAAGAGTTATTAGTAGTGTAACGTTAAACCAGTAATGTCAAAGTTACCACGGTGGGCCCTACAATAATTGTGCAGCCATCATCATTACACAAGGTCTAATTAATCATGATTAATTCCATCATGATAATAAATTATGAACATGACATCATTGTGCGGTATTTGAGTCTTAATCCCAACATCAGAGTTTCCATAAGCATATCACAACATTCACTGATTCAGTATCTGATTATTGATCTATTGAAAGATAACATGAGAATATGATTTCAAGCTAGATGTGAGAAAACCCCTGTATATATTATCAGTTACCTAAATATGGATGATGACAATAACAATACAACAAGAAACAGGAACATACCCCTATCTTTTCAAATTTATTGCATCATAAACAATTCAAACAAGACAGAAATGCAGTAATCATCAAACCAGTCCATTTTCATAAAGGTGTCATTGGGTTAATTGTTAATAATATATATGCTAATCCAGCTTTGGAACAATTGTGAAATGTCAACTGCAAATCAAGTCCCTAAATGTGTTATCACTATTTAATAGATATGTGCGATAACACATGACAAGGCTACATACCACTCACTCTATACCAAAGAGTTGGATTAATTAGGTTGCCAGCCTGCTTACAAGCGTCAGCTGTAGGGAATTTCCCTTTAGCTTAGCGGATGTAGAGCATCGGGCTGGAGAGCCAAGGGTTGCGGGTTCGAGCCCCAGCGATAGCATTGTCTTAATCACTTTTCCTCATCCTACTACAAATTGGTGCCATTGACCCTTCCCGTTCAAGGTAGAAGAACCCTTGGGCTGGGAGTCAGAAAACCTGGGTTGGTGTTTGAAAAAAGTGTGGAAAAGTGTAAAAGATGTGGATAAATTAGGTTGCCTTACAAGTGCCAGCTGTATTGAATTTCCCTTTAGCTTAGCGGTAGAGCATTGGGCTGGAGAGCCAAGGGTCGCGGGTTCAAGCCCCAGCAAAGGCACTATCTTTATCACTTTTCTTGCCCTACTACATCTATGTGTGTTTCATCCAGAACCTTTTGTAACCTGACCAGCAGGTTAATTGTATTCCCTGGCCTCTAAAATGATCTTTAGTACTCCTCTCATGTGGCAGGGTTTCATGGTCCATTGTACAGATTCCAGAGGTAGTTCTGAAATTACTTCAGATAGGTTTAGTATTTGTTGATGAAGAATTGCCTTAATAATTTATACTCAAACCTCTCATAATTTTAAAAAGTCACGGCAACATTTTAACACACTTTTTGGATCTGCTTGCAGGTCTGGAAAAGATGTCCGGAAGATTCCTCTTCAATCAAGCATAATGGCTGTCTTTCCTTTTGTGTTGAACCTTTCCTTCTCTCTTGCGCGAAGGTGTGTGTATACGCAAAAATAAAACTTATCAGTGAATCAGCCAGAAGGCCCACATTGGCACCCTTCCTTTTTCAATGGAAAACATCAAATTCCATCTTCATTGAATGTAACAGTGTTCACCTACCTTTGTTTCATAATTAACAATTGTTTGACAAAGGCAATGTGGCTTAATGTTTTTTTTTGGAAACACAGCTTTTTGTGGTTTTCATAGTTTTATTTTACATTAACAGGACATGACTTAGTACAACCCAGCAGCATCATACAATGGCACCTGTTGCCGCCAGTAACCCTGGAGGGTCGTGGGGTTATGTGGTTGGTGTGGCTGCATTTATGATCCAATTTGTGACCTTTGGGATTGCCGCTTCTATTGGCGTGTACAACATAGCCTTCCTTGAACACTTCCAGTCTTCTGTCGCTGCCACATCCATGATTGGGGCTTTCAACATTGGACTGCTGCTTGGAGGAGGTAATATATATGTTTACTCAGATTAATTTGCTGGTACATGTATTTGAAAACATCTAAGAGAAAGGGTTTTAGGTAAATGAAAAATACCTAAAACCACTGCATAAATACTGAATAAATAGAGTTGAAGAAAACATTTTATTAGCTGATTCTTAAAATTCTTTGTGATGCATGTATTTAATATATGAAAGTACTAAATAATTTGCTTGGCTTGTATGTATAGGGCCGTTAGCCAGTTTTCTGATGAGGAAGATGAGTTACAGGAAGGTGTCTTTCTTGGGATCCCTCCTCAGCAGCATTGGTCTCCTCTTCTGTCCATTTGCACCTAACATTATCTATCTAGATGTATTCTATGGAGTGGTAACAGGTAAACAGAACAAAGTCTACTGTCAACAAATAGTTCTATGTATGATTAGCTTTGTCCTTGGGTATTGTCTGTCTCAAATTTATTATGAGATATATGATCCAGAAAACTTACAATCTGGATGTCAATATTCTTCAGTACAGATTTCCAAAACATTGTATTATGCTTACTGATACAGAAACTCACATTCTGAATGTAAAAGGTCTTTATTGGGCACAATTGCCAGTAATAACTTAATTTCTTTACATTGTAATAAGGAAATTATCTTGTGTCTGGAAATTTTGTCTTGATACCATATACTCATGCCAAATATTCACACTTTGGTGTACACTGCCAAACATTTTATTCCTATGATAAATAACATATGTGTCCCATTAAAGTACAAAGGAAACCTTGTCTTAAAAAAAGATAGATATCCCAACATTCTTAAATGCAAATAGATAGATTATCCCAAAATTCTTAAATTATAAATGCAATTTCTTTTTCATTGAACCAAAAAAGTTCATGGATGAGCATGTTTTTTTTATGAGACCTACCTTGAAAATAAAGTATTTTTCCTTTTATATTTCAATAAACAATATTCAGAAATCTATTGTGTTCAAAATTGAAGAAAAATTATCAACAATGCAACAGTATAAGAAATACCTGCAGATAGTTTTTCTTGTGCTTTGTATTTTGAATAATTGATCAGTGTCAGTTCCTGTTTGCAGGGGTTGGTTTCTGTTTGGTGTATGTGCCATCACATACACTATCAGGACTGTACTTTGACAAGCACCGTAGCCTGGCTACAGGGATTGTGACCAGTGGGTCGGGCCTGGGAGGAGTTGTCTTTCCCTATGTCAGCCACTTCCTTATCACTGAATATGGATGGAATGGGTCCCTATTCATCATTGCTGCTGTCAACATGAACAATTTTGTATTTTCAGCATTACTCCTACCTGTTCCTGTCTCTAAAAAAACCAAAGATACAGCACAAACAGATGAATTGGTAGTCATGCTGACAGGTACAACTAATGAAAGAACTGCACAAATATCAAATCAAAATGGAGACGCAGAGAACAAATCCATATTTGAAACAGAATCAGCTTCAAATACCAATGAAAATTTGAGGACAAGCGCAGAACAATATCAAAGAGAAACAACTAAAACGAATGTCTCATTAAGTTGTAACTGTATTACAGCAGAAAAAGAAATGAAAAATTGTTACGTTTTATGTAACATTATATTTTTGATATATTGCATCAACAATATTTTTTGGAACATGGGTTTATCAATGGTATTTGTGCTTGGCCCAGGATACTTTACAGAATTTGGACTTAGTATTGAGGAATCTACCATTTGTCTCATGTGTTTCAATGCCACAATCACAGTGGGTGGGATTGTAGGAGGAGGTGTGGGTAATCTCCATTGTATCAACAGAATGGTCCTGTACATAATGGCCAACTTCATCACTGGGGTCTTCATACTGATGCTTGCGATGCCATTTGTGCACACATTCGGGGCAATCTGTTTGGACATGCTCGGCATGGGTCTGGTGTTTGGAATCATCCTGGGACTGCTGGTCGTTGTCACAGTCGACATATTGGGAGTGCAGTCACTAGGTGATGGCATGGGCTATCTCCTCCTGGCAAATGGAATTGGCAATACTGTTGGACCACCCATTGGAGGTATGGCTAAAGTTTTTTATGGTCTGTTTAAGAAAAGGGGGATATTTCAACTTTCCAAAAACCTTGGGACCTTGTTTCTGTATCTATATGAAAGTAGTACATCAGAATGGATTAATAGCCAATGTTCTTGTAAATGTCAGTATGGTGTTTCTTTGAAAAAGATACAACTGCAAATTAAAACAATATTAAGTTGATTACATTGTGTACAATTGTTTTAGCTTTTGATGCTCTTGTAATGTCAAGTGAATGTGGACGGAATGCATTTTTTTTCTTTCGAATGTTAACCGTATGATATTAAAACATGATTATGGTGTCAACCAAGTTTTGTCTATTGACACTGCATTCCCTTGTGTGATATTGTCTATTGACACCGCATTCCCTTGTGTGATATTGTCTATTCACACTGCATTCCCTTGTGTGATATTTTCTATTGACACTGCATTCCCTTGTGTGATCTTGTCTATTGACACTACATTCCCTTGTGTGATATGGACGCTTGACACTGCATTCCCTTGTGTGATATCGTCTATTGACACTGCATTCTCTTGTGTGATATTGCCTATTAACACTGCATTTCCTTGTGTGATATTGTCTATTGACACTGTATTCTCTTGTGTGATATTGCCTATTAACACTGCATTTCCTTGTGTGATATTGTCTATTGACACTACATCCCCTTGTGTGATATTGTCTATCTAGGCTGCATTCCCTTGTGTGATATTGCCTATTGCCACTGCATTCCCTTGTGTGATATTGCCTATTGACCCTGCATTCCCTTGTGTGATATTGTCTATTCACACTGCATTCCCTTGTGTGATATTTTCTATTGACACTGCATTCCCTTGTGTGCTATTGTCTATTGACACTGCATTCTCTTGTGTGATATTGCCTATTAACACTGCATTTCCTTGTGTGATATTGTCTATTGACACTAAATTCCCTTGTGTGATATTGTCTATCTACACTGCAGTCCCTTGTGTGACATTGCCTATTGACACTACATTCCCTTGTGGGATATTGTCTAGTGACACTGCATTCCCTTGTGTGCTATTGTCTATTGACACTACATCCCCTTGTGTGATATTGTCTATCTAGGCTGCATTCCCTTGTGTGATATTGCCTATTAACACTACATTCCCTTGTGTGATATTGCCTATTGCCACTGCATTCCCTTGTGTGATATTGCCTATTAACACTGCATTTCCTTGTGTGATATTGTCTATTGTCACTTCATTTCCTTGTGTGATATTGTCTATTGTCACTTCATTTCCTTGTGTGATATTGTCTATTGACACTGTATTCTCTTGTGTGATATTGCCTATTAACACTGCATTTCCTTGTGTGATATTGTCTATTGACACTGCGTTCCCTTGTGTGATATTGTCTATCTACATTGCATTCCCTTGTGTGATATTGTCTATCTACATTGCATTCCCTTGTGTGATATTGTCTATCTACATTGCATTCCCTTGTGTGATATTGTCTATCTACATTGCATTCCCTTGTGTGATATTGTCTATCGACACTGCATTCCCTTGTGTGATATTGTCTATCGACACTGCATTCCCTTGGGTGATATTGTCTATTGACACTGCATTCTCTTGTGTGATATTGTCTATTGACACTGCATTCCCTTGTGTGCTATTGTCTATTGCCACTGCATTCCCTTGTGTGATATTGCCTATTGACCCTGCATTCCCTTGTGTGATATTGTCTATTTACACTGCATTCCCTTGTGTGATATTGCTTATTGCCAGTGCATTCCCTTGTGTGATATTGTCTATCGACACTGCATTCCCTTGTGTGATATTGTCTATTTACACTACATTCCCTTGTGTGATATTGTCTATTGAGACTGCATTCCCTTGTGTGATATTGTCTATTGTCACTTCATTTCCTTGTGTGATATTGTCTATTGTCACTTCATTTCCTTGTGTGATATTGTCTATTGTCACTTCATTTCCTTGTGTGATATTGTCTATTGTCACTTCATTTCCTTGTGTGATATTGTCTATTGACACTGCCTTCCCTTGTGTGATATTGCCTATTGACACTACATTCCCTTGTGTGATACTGTTTATCTGAATTGCCACCTGTGAATGGCCATTATTGATTGTTTTAGGCTGGATAAAAGATCTGACCGGCTCATGCATGCTGGCATTCTACCTGGCAGGGACCGTCACAGTGGTGGCTGGAGGTGTCATGTTGATTGCTCCTGTATGGGAATGCTTTTTGTCTAAAACCAAGCATCAAGTAGAAGAGTCGAGATCTGAAGGTCTGATGGAAACTACAACAGTAGATGTAGTGGTGTAAGGCAGGAATGTCCTCAAACATATCACTTTACCCACACATTTGTTTTATGTGGTGACCTTAATGCGTGTCAAAGAAACAAAAGTTAATTATTTTTTATTACAGTATGTATTCCTATACAGAATCTTTTTTAACATAAAACATTCATCTAAATTTATATGTGCAATTTGTATGTTATAGAACCAATGATGCTTTTAAAGTGATTATCTTGAAAACAATCACATAAAGTTTACATATAAATATATTTATTTATAAACGTATAACTGATAGTTGATGACAAAGCTGCCAGTGTTGTTAATTTTAATCACTGAACAGTATTGTTTTGCCTGAAGTCAATGTGTATACTAAAAGCTGTACCAATGACAGTCAATGCTTTTGAATATTTATTATATATATTTCAGTCTTGATGCTTAAATCAAATGGAAAACTTAAGTCATATTACAAATCTTTGCTGAAAGCAATTTTCAAATAATCAAACATTATTAGTTTTTAAGACTAATCTTGTGTATAAGTGCAATCAAATGAATCTTCTATGTCCTATAAAATGTTTGCTGAAGTAAACTTTTTAAAATAAAGAACCTTTGATATTAGATCAGAGAATCAATCTTGTGTATAGCTGCAATCAATCCAATTCTAAGTCATATTAATCAATGTTTGCTGAAAGCAATTTTGATAACTATAAACATTATTAGTTCACAGATAAATCTTGTATAAAGCTGCACAATCAAAAAAATCTAAGTCATATTACCTAATACGTGTATTTGCTGAAAGCAGTTTTCATAAAGTCAAACATTTTTAGTTCACAGGCCGGCCCGGATCAAGCATGTGTACAGCTCCAATCAATGTATCTCTTCGTTAAATTCAATGTTTGCTGAAAAACAAAAATATTTTTTCACAAGATAAATCTTGTGTATAGCTGCATATAAATGAATCTGATTCAAGTCCTGTTACAACTGTTTTCTGAAAGCATGATTAATTTTGAGACTGGTCAGATAAACAAAATGGCTGACAGGCAGCAATCTTGGATTGTGACATTAAAGGTTGTTATCGCTATTACTCAGGAAGTATTTGAGGGACCTTTCACAAATGTTATATGTAGCTTCCCCTTGGTCTGTGGTTGTGCATGTTCAATTTTGAGACTGATCAGATAAACAAATGGCGGACAGGCAGCCATCTTGGATTTTGACAGTGAAGGTTTGTTATCACTATTTCTCAATAAGTACTGGAGAGATCTTTCTCAAATTTTATATGTAGCCTCCCCTAGGTCCGTTGTTGTTCACGTTTTCTTTTGAGACTGAATAGAAAAATGAAATGGCCGACAGGCACCCATCTTGGATGTTAACAGTGAAGGTTTGTTATCGCTATTTCTTTGGAAGCACTGGAGGGATCTTTCTCAAATTTGTTATGTAGGCTTCCGTTGGTCTGTAGTTGTGCATGTTTCCTTTGAGACTGATCAGATAAACAAAATGGCCGACCGACAGGCAGCCATCTTGAATTTTGACAGTGAAGGTTTGTAATCACTATTTCTCAATAAGGACTGTAGGGATCTTTCTCAAATTTGGCATGTAGGTTCCCTCCCCTTGGTCTGTAGTTAGGCATGTTTTCTTATGAGACTGATCAGATAAACAAAATGGCCGACCAGCAGCCATCTTCGTTTTTTGACATTGAAGGTTTGTTGGTGCTTATTTCTCAGGAACATCTTGAGGGATCTTTCTCAAATTTGATATGTAGGTTCCCCTTGATCCTTAGTTGTGCATGTTACATTTTCAGACTGATCATAAACACAAAATGGCCAAAGAAAGAACTAAACAGATCTTTCTCATATTGCAATGATTGGTTCTATTTCTTTTTCATTAAGTACTGTACTAGTAAATATGTGAAATGACAAACTCACTTTGAAGGTTGTTTTTTATACACAGCAGTATGAAGCAGCAGTAAAGTGTTAAGATGGCATCTGATTGGCTGACCCATTAACGGTTATAACTTGAGTTTTATGGGGGGGACTTTGTTGATACTTTGTGGGAGTGATACCTTAATGGGATATACTTTGTGGGAGTGATACCTAAGGGATATACTTTGTGGGAGTGATGCCTAATGGATATACTTTGTGGGAGTGATACCTAATGGATATATCTGGTACATCATATTAAAAGGCTGACTTAAATTTTTGGGATCCAGGATGACCACTATGGCCTCTGATTGGCTTAGACTTGAAACTCAAGTTCTATTGTCCTGACATGGTTGATATCTTTTAAGAGTGATGATACATACAGCTTTAAGAAAGTTCTATTAAAGAATTCTAATCCCATTTTCACCAATAGTCTGCTTTATTGTAAACTAGGTTTACGTTTGTACTCACAAATTTCACTGGTCAAGCGGAGAGTATTAGCATGCTTGTTACATACAGATCTAGGTTTTTTTTTTTAAATTTTCCTTATGGACGAGTTGAGCTAATATTTATAACTGTTTAATACATTGAATGTACACTTCATTGAAACTCCCATCATCATATTGTTGATTATTTTATAGTTTATATGTCTATATTTATTATTAGCCAGGTTTTGTCTCAATGTTACAACTTCACAATTTATGTCTACTATTGTTGAAGATTCTGAGTGTCATATAAAAAAATGCTTTTTACAAATTATACATGTTTTGTTTATCTCAATCAAACTTTTATATAGCCTCAATCAAATCAACTGTCACAAAAAGATGTTTTTGAAACAAAACTTTTAAATACATTGTAAAAAGGAGCATATAAAAAACAATTTCTACTTCAATAAATATTGTTGATGTTCCCTCATTTTAGACAACTGTGCGGCACTCATTTTTGTAACATTATTTGTTAAACATAACAATGTAACTTCAAAGGCCTTATTTGTGTTACAAAAGATAATTTAATACTTGTTATAAGTAAAACACCATGCATCAGTGTTTTCTCTTAACAATATATCCATTTTAAATTAAACAAAAATTTCATATGTACATTCTTCTAAGAATGGTGCCTGATCTTGACTTTTTTCATCAAATTATCAGTAGCAATTAAGGTTTAGCAAACAGTTCCTTGTTCTTTAAGCCATCGGAGATGAATTTTCATAATAAGCAGTTTACAAGTAATTTGTATGTAATTTGAACCAAATGTGCAGTAAGTTTTGTCCTTCGCCCATGAAATAGAGGGTGAGGTTACATATTCTTATCAGTTATGTCTTTGAAGCATAGATTTGCATTGAAAGTTTTGAATGTTCTTCGAGTCCTATACTATCCTACGTAATTTGTGATAAGCATGTATATAATTACCGAGTGTTGTTTTCAATGGTTGTTTATATAAAAAAGGTTTTGGGAAAGAATAGGCATTCTTTATCTCACTCATGTCAGGGCCTCCTGTAGAATTGTGGGGACATGGGAAAGACCAAATTAATCTACCGCCCCAATGGCAATAATTTGAATATTTATCACTTTAGGTTTGGAAAGATCCCATTGATCTGCTGCTATTTGAATAAGATATATATATATAAACAAGAGAGGTACTACTATTTAAACAATTGGGTATATCTATCTGCTACTGTTTGGGTGGGGTTCATTTCCCCCAATAGGTGAAAAGGTATGGGGTCACCTGCCCGATCAAGTGGGTTTTCTCCGGGTACTCCGGTTTCCTCCAACAATAAAAAAACCTGCGTGCTTACATCCAGGCCAACAAGAGTGATTAATATAAGTTGTGAAAACTTGTTTCATAATTGTTGTAAAATATTAAGAAAGTTTATGTATTCATATACTGTTTAAACAAGAGAGGTATATATATATGCGACTATTTAAAAAAGAAGGGTATATATCAGAATAATAAAAAGAAATTGTGGATAAGTATATTTGACCTGTTGCATATGTTTGATATCCTCTCATTTTTTATATGAAATCATTGTTCCCGGGGGGACTATAGGTTTGCACTCCATCCCTTTTTCCGTCCATCCGTCTGTTTGTCCTTCCTTCCGTTGGAAAAGTTTGTCCAGCACCTATCTTCTATACTATTTCACCTGAAGCAACAAGATTTGGTGTACAAGGACATCTTTGGATGGTAGAGTGCAGAGTGCAAGAAGAAGGTCACTATGATCTATCTCACTGTGACCTATGCTTTGACCATTGACCTTAACTTTTGAAAAAGTTTGTCCAGGGCATATCTTCTGTACTATTTCACCTGGAGTATCCAGATTTGGTGTACAAGGACATCTTTGGATGGGGGAGTACAAAGTGCAAGAATTAGGTCACTGTGAACTATGACTTTACCTTTGACCTTTACTTTTGAAATTGTTTTTTCGGGCATATATTTTATACTATTTCACCTAGAGTATCCAGATTTGGTGTACAAGGACATCTTATGATCGGGAGTGCAGAGTGCAAGAATTAGGTCACTGTTATGTATGACTTTACCTTTGACCTTTACTTTGGAAAAAAGTTTGACGTAAGTGTACTGTTTGTTATATATAGAAATCATTACCGGTGGGGGACTATGGATTGCTTTGTTTTTTATATACATGTTAATACAAGTACTGTTTTTTTATGTTTATGTGTATATGTACTTACCTCAAGGTATTGCTTTTTGACTAAAACTGGAGAATTGTGTAACAACAAAATGTTAATTTTCTTAATTGCTAAAGTGACAACACTAAAGGATATAAGATAAAAACCATAGAATAAATAAGTAAAATATGCTATGTGTGAATTTAACGTGGATATAATTGCAATATTTTTTACCATAATTTGTATGTGAAAAGTGCCATATCTATTGTGCCGCTATAAAGCACATGTTTAACTAGACCTGTATAGGTTGAGTATACTAGATAGTCCCTCTGTGGTACTCTAAGAGAGGACAGAGTTTTACACTCCTCTGTCTATATTCCTTTTTTCTAGGAATGGCAGTGTCCCATTTGAAAAGTAGATCACTGTGACTTATATTTTGACCTCTAACCCCAATCACTTAAAATGATTGTCCAGGGCATATCTCATACATTTTTAACCTTAAACTGCTAAATTTGGTGTGAAGGTACTTCTTGTACTGTTTAATATGAAAGTGGACACAAACAACGACTTGCTCCCTAATCTAATATTTGTCCCAGTGGCATCTGATTAAAATCATGTTACATGTATATAGCTCTGTTAATTTCGTACTATGCCTGTTCAGAGTTAACGCAGCCATGTAACAGATGATTTTAATCAGATTGTCCCAGTAGGGGACTTAAATATATTAATTGCCCTTAAATTGTTTCCCTTAGTATCTTTTCCAAGTACTTGGGAAGCCATGCATGCCATAACAAATATTTTTATTTTCTACGAAAATCACCTTTAATTTTGCATGTTCTTTTTTTCTTTGTATGTTTTATTGAATCTATTAAGTTTGTATCCGATGAATTATGATATTGTATGTAACATAGTTTTTCTTACATGTGATTTCATGACTGTATGTAAATAACCTCAGTGGTTGTGTTTTTGACAAAAAGAAAGAAAAAAGAATTATATTTATGTGTTAAATGTTTTGTCTATTTTGTTTGTTAACCTGTACTAAAGATTGGTTTGAAATCTACCATAGAGTTATTTGACAATCACTTTGATATAGAACTAGAAAGTCTCAATGCATGCAACATAATGAAACCTATGACATCAAATTAACAGAGATCAATTAATTCAAAATTCACTACTTGGCATAAAAAATGATTTTAAAACTTTCAGAATAGGATCAAGTGATCAAAAGATCTCGGCTGTCAGAATGTCGAAGAATGGTTAAAAAAATTGCCACTGACTATGACTTTCAACGATTCAATAAGCATTCAGTGGCCTTCCTTACTTCTATATTGCATTGTGTAAACAAATATGAGCGTGTACAAAAGTACATATGCTAAGGTTTTGGCACCAACATTTTTCAAATTCTTCATTCCATTGAATGATAATCATTGATTAATGTAACATGAACAGGTTGAAATCAACATGTAAAAATGATGCAAAAAACATTACATTCTCAGTATTATGAAATTGGAAATGATGAGCAACAACACCACTGAATCTGGTACAAAATGTAATGTTTGATTTACATCCTACATGCTAATCTAACATTAAATTTTGTACCGGATTCAGTGGTGTTGTTGCTCATCATTCCTATTTTCATTTGCTCTGCTTTCCCTGATGAGCACTGTTGAATACCATTAAGGTATCCATCCCAGGATCCCTACCGCCACTATGGATCCATTACAGTAGTTTATTGTTACTACTATATATATTAAGACCTCGTCTCCCTTTCACCTAAAACGGTTACTTTAAGAGTCTGTTTATATTTCGTTATGCAGACTAACTGGTTTAACTTCATTTTAAATATAATATTTCAGGGTACTTCTGAATCCTCATGGGCCTAAAAATGTTAAATCAAGTCTCGCAAGTCTTTTACTGAGGCTTGCTAGAAAGTAGCCCAAGTTTCCCCTGAACCTGACACAAGACTTAGACATTTTGACAGATAGGTGTCTATGTCTATTGTCAGGGCCAGAGGAAACTCAGGCTTGCTAGAAAACAACATCAGATCACTAGATCTGTCTCCTTTTCATAAATGAACAACAAGTTTACCCCGAGATGTTGTACCATTAATGGCCCCTGAGGATAGGATTGAACCCGAGAAAATGTACCATTGACAGGTCCTCCAGTTGATCATCTCTTATCAAATTGGAGCAATACTGTCGCAGAGAACTTACTCAAATCTTTAACAGCTTTTGAAAATGCTACCTTGGCAGCCTTGTAACATTTCCAATTAACATGAAATGTTGCAAAAATTGTACGGATAAGTTTATCAACCCTAACAAATAAAGTGTGAGCAAAATACAGCATGTACAAGTCGAGTTCAGAAGTTCAGAACAGGTTTCCAATAGCAAATGCAAAACAGCCACCCGATCAAACCAAATATTTGACATGATCAGCTGATCACTATCATCATTCAACCTGTCTGTCACCAAGTCAGGACTATGTACACTCCTATGTAGTGTTATTGAAATCCCATGGGTATACCTAGTTGACCTAAAAATTTGAAAAAATCTATCAAGTTATGCATATTGAAATAGCAGATGTAAGATTGAAGTTATAAACAGATTGTTAAGATAGTTGGTGTGGTGGCCATCTTGCAAATCTGACCTACGCAAATAATAATACTTCGCAAGGACATTGTACTGAACATTCCTTTCAGCAGAAAGATTTGGGTTGGAACATTTTTTAAGATGGCTGATGTAGTAGCTACCTTGGTTATCTGACTGACTTCAAAATTAACAACCCTTGGACAAAGTAGTGTTGTTTCATTGAAATTCTTTGGGTGGTATTTCAAAATGTATTTTGTTTACACAGGAAGATGGATCACAATAGGTCATGAACCCTTCCTTTTTACAGTTTTGGCTTCACTGCATCAAGGTTGGACCCTAATGAACCCCCATGTAAAATATCGGCATGTTAACACTCAGAATAAACGGCAAACGTTTACATGACTTACCCCAAAACACTTTAAACATATCTAATGCTCAACCACTCTTCCGACAGGTGAGTTCAAACTAATGTCAAAATGATCCAAACATTAAATATTTTGTCAAAACCCTCAGCCTTTTCACACGGTAAAGCCATAATTCGAATGTTTGCTGTCATCCTTATCATTGGAAATATGGAATGAAGTGTTAGAGGGGCGATAACTCTGTCATCCTTATCATTGGAAATAAAATGACCTTGTATTATGAATCATTTAAAACAATTACCAACTTTTCTCCAAACACATTTAAGTTACTATCATGTCTGTAGAAACAGGGTCTGACTCCTGCCTTATTATGGTTTTCCTTTAAGAAAAAATAATGATGCAGTGAATGGAATTGTCACTGTTTTATTACAATTAACCTGACATTACAATGGATCCAGTGACACTGTCAACAAACAGAATCACAAAATGTTGTCCTAATGATACATATTCCTCAGATCTCCACATCACAATAACTGAACACAGGTTGAACAGAAAGTCCCAAACTCTAGTTTCAGTCTACTAGTGTTATCCACAAGATCACATGTCAATGTCTGTAAACAAGCACTTAATGTGATGATCACAAGGCTCTGTAAACAAACCAAAGTCCTTTATTCTAGTACAATCTGTAACACTATGCATAGTATTGTAAGTTGGCCTTCTTTTTCGCCTGTACTTCTATTATGGCATCCATGTAATCCTCATGGGCTAGCTCCGTTGCTCCTCTCCTTAATGCAATCATTCCCTGAAGAACAGAAAATACCACTTTAAAATCTTTTCCACCTAGTATATAAGACAGACTAAATCTTTTCCACCTGGTATATAAGACAGACTAAATCTTTTCCACCTGGTATATAAGACAGACTAAATCTTTTCCACCTGGTATATAAGACAGATTATAAGAAAAAAGTTCTTTCAGTGGAATAATGAAATCATTCCAAAGAAGAACTTGACAAACATTTTTAGGAAACTCGAGAACGAAAATCAAAAGCAGACAAACACCAAACTGTATCATTACTGCTTCTATTTCTAGCAGTCATCTACCAAAGTTAAAAGTGATGTCCTGGAATTATTCGAAAAAGCAGAATTTTGAATATTCAATATCGATCCTTTTTTTATTTTAAACAAGAATTCCACGGGAGCGGATGTGGCGCCTGCTCAGCGCTTTTAGTAAGAAAAGTGTTTTGGCTTGAGGTATCGCATAAACAGATATGCCAAAATGCAAAAAGTTGTATGTTGAACATTATTGCTTCTAGCATTACCGTACAGAATTTGAAAGGAATTGATTAAAAAATAAAAACGTTCTAACATTTACTACACAATGCCCTTATTTGGCAATAAAAGGGGCATAACTCCACCAAAAATGTGAACTTGTCCGAGCTTTGCAATATGTGTACCAAGTTTGAGTTCAACCCAAGGGAAATCAAGTTATCGCACGGAAACCTTGTTTCGGATGACGCAACCGCCGCCCCCGACAAAGTAATACCTATATGTCGCCTCGTGTTGTAGGCGTCACAAAAAGTGCCTATTATTTTATAGTAATTTAGTCCTAATTTAGAGAGAAAGGAGTGGGCACTTACTGCCTCAACACACACGGCCTTCAGCTGAGCTCCGTTGAAATCATCTGTGCATCGCGACAACTCCTCATAGTTAACTTCTTTGCTAAAAGACAGAAATGCAACAAAACCTAGATTAGTGAAAATATAAAGTCAGTGTCAATGAAATTTGAAATAGTAAATGAATCTGTTAAATATCTTACTTATCAAGTATCAAAAGTGCATTCTAATTGCATTTCATCTTGTGATATTATTGCACAAATTCGAACTGAAATACAGCTGTTAGAAGTATTTACAAACAATTTTGATGAAGTTACACTTTTAAATCTTAAGCATAGATCACATATGTGTAATGGTGTGTTTGTGACAAGTTACCTGACATTCATTTTCCTGGAGTGGATCTGTAGGATACGTGCTCTGGCCTCCTCATTGGGGTGAGGGAACTCGATCTTCCTATCTAACCGCCCAGACCTCAAGAGGGCGGGGTCAAGAATGTCAACTCTGTTGGTAGCAGCAATAACCTGCAGCACAAGATTCCATCACTAAAGCTGCATTCAACATAACAGACTTCCTGTTTTATTTCAAATCATTAATACCCTCACAAGTTCTATGTAAAATGATAGACTTTATTTATCAAGAATGAAATTACCTTTTTTCTGAAGCTGATCTTCTGAAGTTCTTCCAACCCTTGATTGGTTTCAATGATTGATATGTATGTGTGAGCATTGGCTAATTGTTTTGTAACTTGCTACTTAAGCCTGATTTATTACTGAATTCTTAAGTACCTTGATCTGTGCATTAGGTTGAAATCCATCCATCTGGTTGAGGAGTTCCAACATGGTTCTTTGTACCTCCCTGTCACCTGCTTTCTCGGAGTCAAAACGCTTGGTACCTGCACAGAGTACGTAGAGTTTTCTGATTAAACAGGCTATTTTTACTCTGTTAAATGTTATCAGAGCTATCATCTTGTACATTCACTTACAAAAATATCATAAATGTTAAATTCATGAATCACTAAACCGACTTATATGGTCATCCTTCAATGTTATCAATACACATGATGACATCATGATAGATGTAATCACATCAATGATGTAATTGCAGCTGTGAAATAAAATAAATAATCATCAGGAGTTTTCATTGCTGTACTATGGAAGTAATCTTGGATAAACAAAGGAAATCTCAATATGTCCAAGAGTTGTTTTCAATGAAATCCCTGTATTAATGTCTTTACTGATAAAAAATACACCAGATAAAAGTATAAAAACCCATATGAATACATGTACTGATAATTGTTCAAAATGTCAGCATATTCATTAACCCTTTCTTTAAACAAATTTTAAGAATACATAGCACAAGTTTTCCACCTGGAAATAACACAAGTTCTCAATGATTGTATAAAGATATGTTCTATTTCTAGTCTACTATTCATTACTGCCTTACCAATGGCATCCAACTCATCAATGAAGATGATAGCTGGCTGTTTTTCTTTAGCAAGTGCGAAGGCATCCCTCACAAGTTTGGCTCCATCACCAATAAACATCTGTACCAACTGTGGTCCAGCTAGCTTCAAGAAGGTGGACTTGGTTTGTGCAGCACAGGCCCTGGCCAACAGGGTCTTACCAGTACCAGGGGCACCATACAGCAACACACCTACAGGTAATCAGGTTACAAGTACTTATACAGGATAGACATTAACTTACAATGTACAAGGTCTTACCAGTACCAGGGGCACCATACAGCAACACACCGACAGGTAATCAGGTTACAAGTACTTATACAGGACCAGTGCCAGGGGCACCATATAGCAACACACCTACAGATAGTCAGGGTACAAGTACTAATACAGGATAGATTTCCAATGTACTTTTATAAATATCAGTGCTTTTCACAATGTTTTTAGGTGCTAATTTAAATACTCCTCTGAAATTTGATTTTTTTATATGCTACCATATTCGTGGCTGATATGAAATATACGACACCTTCAAATGTTTTAAGTTACATCATTAGCAAGATCAATACTTGCACCCTGGCCATATATTATTTTACATATATGGTTGAAACATTTTTTAAGTACACTTAATGCATACAGGATGAATTCATATCGTTAGATAATTTGGATATGTATATACATATTAACTAGTAGAATATCCAATTTGATCAGTTCAGTATGTGCCTCTTACCTTTGGGAGGCTGCACACCTAAAGCTTCAAATCGTTCTCTGTGGGTCATAGGTAAAACTACTGCTTCTATTAACTGAAATACAAAACAGGTTTTTAATAGAAGAATTACAATCTATCAATGTATAAACATAAGATAGTGTTAACACCAGTAATATACAAACAATGTTGATAACATAGACATTGATTTGGGAAAATTATATCACCTTTGTACCAAGATTATTGAAAATTCATCAAACAGTAATGCATGTTTTTTTGTCAAGCTGAAGTGATTTGTTTAATATCAAATTCCTGTTACAGATTTTTCTTTGTTGAATTCGTGCCAATTTCTCAGAAGCCATTACATACAATTAAGTTCTTATACTTTACCTTAATATTTCTCAATGAAAACAATCATTGTGTAAAAAAATTGTGAAATTAATCATCTGCATTTGTAGACACGATAAACTGATGTTTACAGAATGATATATTTCTCCTTTAATGCCTTCCCCAAAGCTTTGAAGTCCAGCAAAGAAGTACACCTACTTCCTGTATCTGTTTGTCCAGTCCACCAATGTCGGAGTACTGTTCTGTTGGCCTCTCATCTACTTCCATAGCCTTTACACGCGAGTCAAATCTGTTAAGTATCAAATAGAGATAAAAATATGTCTTCCTAAAATTAACATTATCCTATGAATAGTGCTCTTTTAATATACTCAGTATTTGTTAAGGACTAAAATGCCTCTGTTTAACAATAATGATGGTATGCAGCACATTTCGTTCAAACATATTCCAAAACGAGAATGCAACTGTCCTGCAAACTATCATAAATGTCAAAAAGGTGCAATTCATTCTTTTACATGTATTTACACTCAAAATAACACATAAAATTGTATTTCATCTATGTGAGTAGTTTCTTTGAGTTAATGATGAATTATGGACAAACTGTAAGTAATTGACCATTTCTATGGTAACTTTGTCATGTTTTCTATGGTTACCATTTCCGTCAGGTGACAATCATCAATTGAACACAATTCTACATTATCATAGAAAGAACCAAACAGTTCCAATTAAAAAAAAATTGTTGTGTAATTGTTCTTGCTGTTATTGATTTGAAACTACATTTTGGTTGTTAGGTTTATTTCAGAGCTGTTCAACAGAATGAAAGTATGATGTGTGGAACATTTCCAATCTTCAAAAGTCCAACTCTTACTCCATACACAGGTTGCCATAAATATGATTTTGTAGATCCATAGTCAGAGCTGTTCATTTTCTAATCCATATTTAACAAAAAAGTCCCCATGATAGGGTTCTTAATCAAAAGCTTTCTTTGTATTACTTCGCACTGTTAGAGAATATTTACAATTTGCTTGTCATAATTAGATTACTTTTACCGCCCAACAGTTCTTTGTTCTTTCAATACTAGTTTCCTTTGGAAATATCAACTGGTTACAAAAGGATATTTGAAGATACTTTTCTATTGGTTTTAGTGGAAATTACAAAAGCAGATCCTCAGGACAAATCTTTGGGACAATGTTCCTCGAAAACAATATTTGTTCTGCCACTTGGTACATACACCATTACATCTCCTACTGCATTATGTGTGGTATAAATATAAGTTAGTGTAATTTTGTGTCAGTGACATGGCATCCATCTACTTACTCCTGAGGTAGGGTCTCCAGCACCAAGTAGGAGTCTTTGTTTACACCCTGAAACAACCAACATTTGTTAGTAGTTATCCAATAACCCAGAGTCATCTTACATAACATTCAAATTGTTTTTCCTTGAATTTCTTAAGTTGTATTAAACAACAAATTACTATTTACCTCAATGATTAATTGTTCTATAAAAACATTTTTTTATAATTAAAGCTGAATTAAACCAAAATGATTTGAAATTGCATTTAGAGAATTCTACAAAGAGAACTTTAAATCCTCCAGTTATATGTTCTATTCCTCTCTGTGTAAAAAAACAACAGTATTCTGCATTGTCTTTGATTAGTTTTATCATTGATGATTCTGTCATTCAAGTGTATAACATGGAACAGGTGATCAAGAACTTATAATTAGATAAAGAAGATATAAAAATGCCAAATCTAATAATTGACATACTTACCACCAAGTCACCAGGATTTAATTTCTCAGGGTCTACCAGTCCTATCACAGGTAGAAAGTAGGTCTGAAATACAAAATATTTTTTTACACACCTCACTTGGGAATCAATGCATTGTATTACTACACAGAACTAGTTTGATTTCACTTATTGCTCAACAGTTGTAGCTGGACTTTTTCATCTATCTTATCACAAATTGAATATGATTAAATGTTGGGATACACACTGTGACACATAGTATAAGTCACTTCTTATACTATGAGTGTGTACATCCCGACACTTAGTAAGGTATTACAACAATAAGGTAAAACAACACTTTGTATTACCTGTCGTGTTGAAGTCTTGATAACAGCACACTTGCCCTTCCTCTGTGCATCAAGATCAATGTTGGCCCCATCCTCCTCACCAGTCTCCTGAGGGTCCATGTCCAGTAACTGAAAGTGAGTCATTCTATCACATTAACCAGTCTGCATATGCCATTAGAAATCTTTCAAGACTTTTTTCTTTTTCTTCTTCTTCTTTTAAGTTTTACTGAGATGTTATTAGTGTTTCTTTGAATGCATCATTTTAATAGTAGTTAAAAACTTTCCCTATTTCCCCTCAAAGCAAGTCTGCAGTTCATCTTTAGACATGAAATAGTCAACAACTTCATATTCAAAATCCAAGGATATGTCTAGGTCACTATTTTGTATTTGAATTGAATGAATTCCAGATCTTCAGTTCTAATCTTTCAATATCCTTCTCTAATCCATAAAATTTACCTCTATGACATTGGAAACTAAATATGGCAGGGTCTTGTTGACTTTTATTTTCTCTGTATTTTCTTTTATCTTTTCCTTGGTTGCTGTTAGGTCGTGGTTGATGCGGAGAATTTCACTTTTCATGATCTATAAAAAGAAATCAAGACATTTTATTTTGCTTATTGTAAAGTAATTACACAAGATTACAAATTTAAACCGATAAAAGTATCTCACTGGCACTTTACTTTTTCATTTGATGTGGAGATTATTAGTTAAATAAATGAAAAATACACTTTATCATTTAAAGCTTATTGCACTTTCATAACAAAATTATGTTTGTTACAGTATGTACATGTCTTATTCACTTGTATATTTTCATACTTTGTAATCTTAATTTTTCAATACTTACTTTAATTTCATTTTCTAATAACTTTGTTCTTGTGACTATTTCATCTGTTGAAAGTTTCAATATTTCTTCTCCCAAACTTTCCTGTAAACAAAATAAGCAGAATGAAACTATGGTTAGTTACTTGAATGAGATAATGATAACTGATTAAGACACAGGGTTCCAACACTGTCTTGTATCTGCAAAGAAGAGTTTCTATTTGTTTGGTATTTTTCTGACTTGAGAGTTGCTTGCCCATATATGGTGGCAAAGACTTATACAAAAAAAAGACACACATGTGATGACCTTAAATCACAATTTAACAGGGAAATTAAATGATTACCATTTAAGCAAGGCATCACAAGTGATACGACCCCCTGCATTCACACATTGTGACATATGTAAGAGGAAATGAAGTCGCTAGAGCAATGACAAGTTTTTTTCTAAAAATAGTAACAGTGACCTTTTAATATCTTCAACTTAAAAACCCGAAATGAAAGCTTGTTCAAGGCATTGCCATAACAAAGACTTGTATGAAGTTTCATTAAATAGCATTGAAGAATGAAGTTGATAGGGCGATGACAAAGTTTATATAACAGTGACAGTGACCTTGACCTTTAATGCAGTAACCTGAAACGTGAATTTGTTCAAGGCATTTCCATTCCAAACAGTTGTATGAAGTTTCATGAGATTTGGTTCACTAATGAAGTCGCTAGAGTGATGACAAAAAAATAGTAAAAGTGACCTTGATCTTTAACGCAGTAACCCATTATGCAAACTTGTTCAAGGAATTGTCATACCTAACAGTTGTATGAAGTTTCATGAAATTCTGTGAGGATTGAAGTCTGTAGAGCTATGACAAAGTTTTTCTAAAAATAGTTACATTGACCTTGACCTTCAAGTTTCATGAAATTCCGTTGAGGAATGTAGCTGCTAGAGCGATGACAAAGATTGCAACATACGTACATACCGTTATGTACGGGCGGAATCCTATACCCCTCAAACTTTCGTTGCGAGGGGATAATAACTCAGCATTTGGAACACCTTGATGATATTACTTTTACAAGACAAGAATGTTATTAATCTGGTTAGGCCTAGCCTGTCCATTTACTACATTGTAATGTTGGCAGCTAGTTCTGAAGGATACACTGGATAAAAGCAGTGGAGACAGGTATTGCCCTGCCCAGGGCAAAGAAAGACGATGATTTTTTATGAATATGATACCTTTATCAAATGTCCATAGATTTCCATGTTAAATGGGAAATTGTTGATTTAATTATCAAAGCTCTTAGCTGCAAGACTTCCGTGCATATGGGGAGACAATTTGCATATTTTTTTTTACAAAAATACCTCTGCTACAGATTTAAACGATTGTAAACAGTTTGGTCAGTAGTGAGCTGCCTTATATACTTTGCTACACAGTGGCATGGATCGCTTTACTTGTAATATTAAAAAATAGGGGTCTCCTATGCTAATAAATATTAGTATAGGAGACCCCTATTTTTTAATATTACAAGTAAAGCGATCAATGTATATTAGTATAGGAGACCACTATTTTTTAATATTACAAGTAAAGCAATCCATGCCCCTGTGCTTTGCTTCAGGACTTTTCTGATACAGGGATTAATTTTTAAAATGTTCAAACTCCATATAGAATATGCCTGCGACCTATAAAAATAAAATTAGTGTGTATAAATAAAGAAGAAATAGTTTAAATGAACAGAAGCATTTTTTCAGTTGGTATAAGGAAAAAAGTGACGAATACCTTTCCTATATAAAAGATAACACCCCCCCCCCCCCCCCCCCCCATTTTTCGCGTCAACTGTAATCAATTGAACTCTGCACGTTCGAACATCGAGAGAAAATTATGGTTAGAACGATAACAACAAGTTTTATGTAACATGATCAAATTTTGTGTAAGCGAGGACATTTCGCGAGAAAGGAAGGACTCAAAATGCTCCACCATTCAAAACGCACTATCTCATAGTGACTATGAGTATGATGACAATGTGGAATTGAAAGCGTTAACATGAAAAAATATGTTTAACACCTTTTCAGTAAATCTGTCCTCACGTCACTTGGTTAATGATAATAAATATAATTTGAAGTTTAAAAAATATTTGAAATGTGTGTCGAAATCGCCCAGAATATACCTCTCCGTCATCCCAAATAGCTTTATCTTCTAAAGTTGCCATTTTCGCCGGGTTCTATGTGTGTATCACGTGACATATCATTTCCGCTGCATGCGGTGCGTTCGAAGAAGTATCGTTATCGTCTCTGATAGTGACAGAACGCTGTAGATTTTTCGACAATAGTTAAAATTCTTGAAAAGATAATATAAAATAAATAAATTACGGCCCAACACCAGCTCTATTTTGAGTCAGTAAATGTTTACAAATCATTTACAGACTTGATGTATGTGGTGAAAAAATGGAAGGAGAGCGAGGGTCTTTGGAGGAGAGGGGCCAGGTTAGCCCTCTCGGAATTCTTTATTATTGGTCATCGCACGAAAATTGCCTTGTTCAGTCATCTGTCAAGGTAAAATATGCCACTCAAAAGTGCTTTATGAAGCAGAGATATACAATCATAGGACCTCGCATGAGCTGTCTAAATAGCAGGTGCTTACATGCAGTCCTAAGTCACATGGCTAATACCTCCATGTACTTGAGTGTGTATGGGTGTTGTTTTTTTGCTATGGTACTGTGCTTCGAATGGTATTTTTTTCTATCCATTTGTCGCCTACAGTCTGCTCAATTGTCTCCAATTTTACCTGTTCATGAATTTTCTGATATTTCCAAGAGTATTTATTTCTCTGTAACATCCTTGGGTATGACAGTACAATGCCATCAGGGAACAACAAATTGTGAGGTCAAAATCAGCATTCAACAGGAGAGGTCAGATAGTTCAAATACAGATACTTAATATTTTTAATTATAATTATTGATTGGAGTTATGTCACAGAAAATCTCAATGTCTGGGGCGAGATTCTTGAATGTCTAGCTCCAATGCAGCTAAAAGTAAGCCTCAGATTAGACATTATCAAGATCTATCACCCTCGGGTTGAAATTTGTCAATCTTAGGGTAGGGGAAGATTCTATTATTCCATAGTGCCACCTGTCACCCAATTTTTACCTGAGCCCTAATTACTGTTTTATACTCAATCTGAGCAATTTGAATAGGTATTGGAGTTGAGTGATCAGGACAAAACCATTTCTAAGAAAGTTCTTTACTATATATGGCTTCAGGTTGTGTGTGTGTAGGGCACCTGAGCGTCAATCACTTGATCTAATATATTGTTCCATAATTCTTTATTTTTTAAATTTTTCAACCAGTGTTGGGTAACGATAAATGTTAAAAAAGAGTAGAAGAAATTCTTTTAGCTGTTAAAACACTTGGTTATGCAGTTTTGGGGTGTTTTTTGGAAGATCTTATAGCTCTTCACCTTTTGTATCTAAATTTGCAAATCTTTGTTGGAAGATTTTACATATTTTATTGATCTGAACCAAGATGGTTATTATAACCATTTATCCACTTCTAATACATCATATTAATTTCAACCATTAACCTACATAAGCCAAATGTCATGGCACTTCACCCAGGCTCTTTTATTATTCAGAAGTCAGATTTTAACATATAGCCTTGTTCATTGGATCTAGTTAATTTATTTGAACAAACTAGAAATCCAATCATCATAGCATGCAACTGCCCAAATATAATCACACTAGGCTTCATATTGTCACTATGAAATGGGGTCAAGGTCATTCATTTGAACACATTTTATAACCCTTCATCCCAGTAATTTACTGGCCAAATATCATATCTCTCTTGATTTCTTCGTTATTCAGAAATAGTCATTGAAGGGTTTTCATACATTTGACCTGTGACCTTGAAGGGTCTTGTTTATTGTGACCTTGACCCATAGTCAAGGTCATTCATTTGAATACAATTGACAGCACTTTATTCTGGGACACTATTGATGAATCGCACCACACTAGGCATTTTGGTTATTCAGAAGAAGTTGTTTTAAGTTTTTAAGACATTGAACCACATTGAATATTGTTGAAGGTAATTCTTTTGAACAAAGCTGATAGCCCTTTATTCCGGCATGTTCCTGGCCACATACCATCCCTAGGCTTTTGGTTATTCAAAAGAAGTTGTTTGAAGTTTTTAACAAATTTGACCCTTTATGACCTTGAATATGGGTCAATGTCATTCATTTGAACCCCCTTTGGGCCAGGTGAGCTATTAATTATCATCTCAAGCACTTGACAATAACAATTATCATCAACAAAACCAAAATTTATAATTCTCTACACAGTTCTATCTAGAACACCCAAATGATATTAGCAAACCTGCTTCACTGAGATCAGGGCCCGTATTCATGAAGCCGTTCTCATGCTCAAGCATGGATTATGTGCTCAAGCCTAATTTCTTGTTCTGGTTATAACTCGATAAATAAATCTTACTTTGTCAATGATTTGGAAACATTTTGAAGAGACTTAAAGCCAAATCCTGTTTTCAATGTTTACATTTGACTTTTTGATCGTTTGACATGATCTAAGCGAGTTACCATAAAGTTGGTTTGAGCACAGATTCCATGCTTGAGCATGAGAACGGTTTCATGAATACGGGCCCTGAAGTATGAAGGTTGTAGAGGCTAGTACTCAAAGGCAATGTCACTTGGTCAATAGTTTATTAAACCTTCGTTTCATTCTGAAATGACTTATCAGAATATCACCAAACTTTATGACACACAGATATAGAAGGTTTTGAGGTAAAGGTTAGTCAAAAGATTTTTTTGTCAAAGCTTTTGAGGTTAAATATTAATCTTGAACATCATTAAGTCATATATCATACAAATAATTCAAGCGACACAAAAAATAACTGTTATTGAAACTTTATTAAACAACATCATGGTTATACAGATAAAGGTAACTAACAATAAGCTCACCTCTCAGTGAGCAGCCGAAGTTCCCGAGTGGAAAAGGGTGCATTATATAGGGATGGTAGGTACCACCAAGTACCCTACAATAAATATTACAGCTGTATATACAGTAGACCTACATAGGATGTAATCATCTTTGTGTTGATCTAATACAAATTGTAATTATTCAGCAAATGATTCAACAGATCCTTCTCTGAGAGTAAATTGATGTGCATTGCACACAATAATGCAACACACTATGTAGACAGTTTAAAAAAAAATAATTTAAGAAGCAGACATTCGTAAGAACAATGTATTTGTTTCACTAATTCACCGACAACTGACTTACAGGAAGTCAGTAAGTATGTAAACACACAATCACAGAGTACAGACTTACAGGAAGTCAGTAAGTATGTAAACACACAATCAATGAGTACAGACTTACAGGAAGTAGATATCAGTAAGTATGTAAACAGACTTACAGGAAGTAGATATCAGTAAGTATGTAAATACACAATCACCGAGTACAGACTTACAGGAAGTCAGTAAGTATGTAAACACACAATCATTGAGTACAGACTTACAAGAAGTAGATATCAGTAAGTATGTAAATACACAATCACTGAGTACAGACTTACAGGAAGTAGATATCAGTAAGTATGTAAACATACAATCATTGAGTACAGACTTACAGGAAGTAGATATCAGTAAGTGTGTAAATACACAATCACTGAGTACAGACTTACAGGAAGTAGATATCAGTAAGTATGTAAATTCATAATCCATGACCATTGAATTAATGATGTTTAAACACAATGTCTACTTATTAACCTAAAGGGTATTGACATCAGTAAATGTCAAACTATTACCCTGAGAGACCAGATTCATTTGCTGAATATTTACACTGTATATTTCTCTATGTATATATATAGTAATTAAATAAATGAGATTCAAATATTGACAAGTTGTACATATCGAGGAAGAAATCTAACTAAATTATCACAAATGTGATTGACAATCTTGCACAAATATCTTAATTACAACAAATTGGTATCCAAATAATTTTGACTGGAAGAAGAAAGAAATAGATTACACATCAAAATGAGGCTCTTGACATAACCACATGATAGTCATGTGACAATGGATGTGACATTTTAACAAAAAAACAATCATTAAGCAATGAAATATGTGCCTTTTAATTAATGTTTCCCAACTTTTTTTCTGTACAAATGACATCACAGACCAGACAGCACTATGTCTACTCTGGTATGTTATAATGACATCACAGACAAGACAGCACGATGTCTTCCCTGGTATGTTATAATGAAATCACAGACAAGACAGCACAATGTCTACCCTGGTATGTTATAATGACAACACAGACCAGACAGCACTATGTCTACCCTGGTATGTTATAATGACACCACAGACAAGACAGCACAATGTCTACCCTGGTATGTTATAATGATATCACATACAAGACAGCACAATGCCTTCCCTGGTATGTTATAATGACACCACAGACCAGACAGCACAATGTCTACCCTGGTATGTTATAATGACACCACAGACAAGACAGCACAATGTCTATCCTGGTATGTTATAATGACATCACAGACCAGACAGCACAATGTCTTTCTTGGTATGTTATAATGACATCACAGACAAGACAGCACAATGTGTCTACCCTGGTATGTTATAATGACATCACAGACCAGACAGCACTATGTCTACCCTGGTATGTTATAATGACATCACAGATCAGACCACAATGCCTTCCCTGGTATGTTATAATGACATCACAGACCAGACAGCACTCTGTCTACCCTAGTATGTTACAATGACACCACAGACAAGACAGCACAATGTCTACCCTGGTATGTTATAATGACATCACAGACCAGACAGCACTATGTCTACCCTGGTATGTTATATTGACATCACAGACAAGACAGCACAATGTCTTCCCTGGTATGTTATAATGACATCACAGACAAGACAGCACAATGTCTACCCTGGTATGTTATAATGACATCACAGACCAGACCACACAATGTCTACCCTGGTATGTTATAATGACATCACAGACCAGACCACACAATGTCTACCCTGGTAAGTTATAATGACAACACAGACCAGACAGCACAAAGTCTTCCCTGGTATGTTATAATGACACCACAGATCAGACAGCACTATGTCTACCCTGGTATGTTATAATGACACCACAGATCAGACAGCACAATGCCTACCATGTTCTCAACTCTGATTTGTGCACCATTTAAAAAAACAGAAAGACGGGAATCCTGGTTAAAAGGGACATATTTCTCTAACATACACAAAAACAGCAACTTAACTTAACATACTTAATATAGCACCTCTTCTATAGCAAATTTTATATAACACATAGACACATAAATAATATGCATAACAGCACAGACACAACCACTGAAGGCATTTACAACTCAACAGCAAAATATTCTTGTTCCAAGTTTTTTTCACAAGTCACATTCACTTGCATTTTACCATCCAGACTGTTTGGTCTGAGCCATCAGAAAGTCATCAGGATTTGGAGGTTCAATGCAACATTGTATAAAAAACTTATATCTTGGTACAATGAAAATTGTAACAACAATGAAACAGTTTGTCTCAATGAAGAAAAAAAACACTTAATTCTTTCATTGAATGAAATGTTGAGCAACATAAACATACATATGCAATTAACTTTTTACATCACAGATAATTGTCAACAAATTGTAATAATGAATAACGCTGTTAAGAGGAGCAACAGCAGGACACAATTATACACAGGGATTCTTACGCTTCCAGGTAAGAGTCGTAAATATTAGGGAAAGTACATCACTTCCACTGCTGGAAATTCGTCATCATTCAGCAGGGACAAAGTGGCAGACAAACATCTCTGTCCTGTAAGGAGGAGATTAATACAACTATAACGGGAGGAAGACAACAACCGGTAGGCAGAGTAACCAAAACTTAAACCACTGAAATGTGTTCAGTTGTAGATCTAGTGAGGTGGGTACAGATCGGGCGATTCAGACCCAACTTAAGATCATTTCAATAAAGATACACAGAATGTACAGCAAAAAATATCTAAACAATGCCAATATGTACAGATAATACTGATTGACTATAAAAACAAATGATATGATCAGGTAGGTACAAAATAATACAAATCATCAGTAAATAAGCTTAATATCAATCAAAAAAAGAAGATGGACTTTTAGATATTGTATTTTTAGATATAAATATTTCTTCTTTTCCCAATCAATAGACACAAAACATTCCACACAGATTAAACAGTTATGAGGAAGGAGGAAATGAGGAAAATTCAATTATTCAATTCATTTTGATAACAATTTGCCATCAAATGTATCAAAATTGACAACATGAGCAGATACATCACCAACAGATTGGTACATATGATTGCAATTTACTTGTGTAGCTTAAAATATCAGGTATTTCTCAGCACATGTATTAAGCAAACACTTGAAAGCTCAGTACAAGGGGTGTCATAACACATGGGGAGTATATCATGATAGATTACAATACAGAAGGAATATATTGTGATACATATTTTGATATATTGTTATGGGAAAGAGGTGCTCAATTTAAAAAGAAATTGTTACCAGAACGTTATTAAAAGGAATCATATACCTAGCCATTCATCGGGAAATTTCAACTTATTCCAACTAGCCTGTTTACTGCTATTGGTGTATCTGTTAGAAAAAGGTTCTAATTTATAATGCTTTGCAGATAATATAAATATAAGCTTAAGAAAAATATTGTGATACAACAATATTTGATTATTTCACTTCTGTATTACAATACATTATGATATGCCTGTGTATTGCGATATATACTGATTTTCAGATAAATTGTGACAGCCCTACTCAGTACCAGCTTAACTACAAAAAACTTGAATTCAAATAATCTGTAAATAATGAAAATAGAAGTTCTCATGAAATCTTAGTTGTTCACTCTAATGATATGCATTTACCAGAGAATATATATATATTGCTGTTCCCAAATAGTCACGCTACATTAGAGAACCAATATTTCCTTACCCATTTATTGACACATATGTGTGAAAAAAAAATATCAAAATTGATCATAGTACATGTACTAAGAATTGAATGTCTCTGTTTTCAAGAGATCACAAATTACACAGATATAGTCTAAGAAGATCTATTTGGTATAGAAATCTTCAACAGCAATGTAACACTGACCTCTTACTGGCAAGACACAGCTACAGCTAAGGGTGACTACATGACAGAAAAATGGCAAGCGTGGATCTGCCCTGCAATCAGAGCTGCAGCTGTGTGTACATGTATGAAGAAATAAGTATAAATGCACTAAACAAAAATTAATTCACTTAACCCCTCCCCGAGTACACAAACAAGATACTGAAGGTCGTGACACAAACAGACAAAAGGCACTACCAAATGTTAAAATGAGAATGCTTTTTAAACAAGTTTATCAATGAAACATTTGGAGAAATATTTTAACAATATAATGAAGATGAGTCTTCCTAATAACACCAATAAAAGGTTGCAAACATCAAAAGCTGAACAAATAAAATTACATTAAAGTATATATGCCTTGTTCATACAGTTCATTTTCAGATGCTATATATTATTCAGTGTTTTATTCTTAGTGACACAAATTTTCAATTTAAATATGATCCTTGTTTCTGATTTACTTACTTTTTGTTAATCTTTCCTATCCAAAATACAATGTACGTATATATATATCTAGAAATAACATCGGTACAGCATGGATTTCAAATAGGTTTCTCTCTGTTATCCGATATGTCAAATAAACAGTACCTTATACTAAACAACACTGCGGTAGTGAGTAATGTTTAGACATAACAATGTCTGGTTGTTTATTTTGATTTAACTTCACTTTATTGAGTTTTACAATTTATCTATACACCATTAAAGATCACAAAGAATTGATATGAGGGAGACTTCTTAGTGACAAGACTCACACGTTGACTGGAAGACATCATACTGGCCGTTCATCCTCTGTATATCAGTATAACACTGTATTTTGTAACAAATCCTAGACATGGCATATCAAACGATGCAGTGAGTCTGACACACTGTACCATGTTATGAGTGTCTCTAATCATACTACAAATGTTAACATCATACAATATTGCAATTTCACAAAGTTTCAGCTTTTTGAACTGTATTATGTGTCTATCTCAATTTTTTTCGTCTTTGTTACATGTGACATCTGAAAACTCTAAAAGTGTACATTTCTCTTAAAATAAGCAGTGCCTTAAAACTGCTTGTACAGTGAAGTGTTTTGCATCATTCAGGCCTATTAAATATCTGTTACAACTTAGCACTGTCATAAGACTGTTTTGTACAGCATGTTGAGTTATTTACACATAACACAAACGTTACAACTTAGCACTAGTATCTAATAATTACTGTTCTTTGTTGTATACAATGTTTTAAGGTTAACCGATAAATACAATTTTATAAGACCGATATAAGTTTCCTACATTTCTATCTATTTATGCAATTTGGTATAGCGCTGAGAAGTCACACCCAATTTCTGTTCTGGTAATTAATCGACAGAAATATTTCTGTACACCAGGTGCTATTAAATATATTCTAAAATATGAAACACTGAGAAACAGTGACTACGATGTTTTAAAGACAACTTAATTGGATGACAGGTTACATAGACATTACACTGACCTAGGAGGAAAATAAATCCATTCAAACCTCACAAACTATTGACTGCAAAAATGAATCTGTATAGCGGTATGGTAATATAAACAGCAAGGCAAGTCTTATACCTCAAAGGTAGTCACAAACAGATATGACAACATTGAATTTAAAATATTTTAAAAAATACCAAAATTTAGTGCTCAATTATTGCTTAATACAGTACTATGAAAATGAGCAATTGTAGAATATGGATTTTTTTGTTTATAGATGTTCAGCTGAAGTATTTAGAAATGATATATCTTTTACTATTTCTGTTTTAACAATTAAACATTAATGAAATGCTGTGTTGGTAAAACTATCTTAACAAAGTGATCAGGTCATTTAAACCATGCCCATCTCTCGACAAACACTATATGTTACCGAGACATATTTCTTCCCGGCTCCCTCACAAATAAACTCTCTCACACTGAACAGTCGTTTATCATTGGGATGCAGCTGCGAGTACACTGACCCATCACTGTAACAGCTATTCATACCTCCTCCCACACTAAGTCACAACATTTCAAGTCTTTATACCTAATTAATACCTACTGACTAGCTTTACATCAATTAGAACCGACAAGTTTTCTACTGCCTAAAGCAATCAAGAAAATGAAGACATGCTTTTCCAATCTTAGTGTAATGCTAAAACAAGACCTTTAATTTCAAAGAAATTATGATGTATTTTTTATAAAAGATGTCGAATTGATTTGGTATTCAGTACTAGTGTATCTTATAAGTTTTCCACTTTTAAAAACCATCATTTTTGTTTTGAACTAAACTGACCAAAAAAACCTTGATCCTATTAAAACTTCCAACTTTATCAGCAAGTAATTGTTTTATAGCAGATCACTAGAAATGGAAAACATTTGACCTTGATAGCTTTCTAAAACTGAAACTTTATCAGGTTTTGGCGGTTTTATCCTGAACTTTAGTAGTTCTGGACAACACCATATATCCCTGTGTGTTAGCTGATGCAGCAGCTCCGTCGACAGTTGGCGGGAGGCGAGTCTGTGGGGTTGAGATACTTGTTTTTCTTTGATTTGTCACGGTGGATGAAACTCTGCATTCTTGCTCTCGTTTTGTTGGTGAGAGCATACGACTTGAGATATGATTTCAACGTTTGTGGTAATGGAAGCTGATCAATGCCATATATAGTTGTCCTTGCAACAATAGTGTGACATGCTATCTCCTGAAGACTCAACACTGCAATACAAATAGAACGATTTGTTATAGTGTTGTAGAAAAATATTATCAATAATTAATAAGAAACACCATCATTTGATCAATTATTCATAAACAGTTCATACATAATATTTAACATAAATGGGAAAAAGCAATGGTTTTTTTCATACATCATTGCAATTAAAATAAGATTTTGTCATAAACATTTATTTTGTTATAGTATACAATAGACAATTTCTCACCATAAATTATTTTAAGATGTCAGAATTTTTCAAGTACCATCTAATTTAGCAAAATTTAAGTGACTTCTAAAACTGGTTGACCTATTCAACAGCACATTTAGAAAATAAAGTATTCTTTCTTTACGTACTAGGGATAAAAAACCAAAACAAAGCTAGCAGTCTGCCAAAGTTAAATATATCTACCACCAAATCACATTTTAAAGAAGGTGGGGAAAGGGAATTGGTCTATTAAATTCTATGTTTTTTAACATTCCTCAAATATATTTCAAACTTTCTGTTTTAAAATGTTGTAGTATTGTTAATTAAATGTCATGTTACACCCTACATTGTGATGAAATAGCAGATTATTCTTGACCAAGTTTTCATCAAATTCTAATTGTAATTCAAGTTTAGATAACATATCAATCTGAACATCGCAACCCCCAAATTACTTTCTTTGCCATCCCAGCATGCAATACACACCTTTGCTAGGACCCCAAGTCCGACTCATGCCATTCCGTTTTAAAGCCAGACGAGATAGCTCTGCAAAAGATTCTGTCACATTGAAGTCACACAGTGGGCTCACTTCAAAAAAGGCCATGTCATTCTTTAAAGCATATGCCTCTGCTGTCGCTTCACTCACTTGTCGTTTGAATGCAAGGTGAAGACGGTTGCCAACCAAAATCTTAGGTACACCAGGTGCATGCTGAAAAAAATTATTACTAGTTACTACCACAAACAGTTTTCCCTGAAAACGAACCACACTCTGAAAACAAACCACGCTTCAACAACAGGTGATATTTATTTGTAGCGGATATTTTGTCTATATACTCTCTTACCATATTAAACATCAATGTCACATATTCTGTTCTGTATACCTCATATGGAGCCTTGAAACTGTTTCCCCATAAAACAAAAAATTGAGAAAATTCACTATCAAACTAATCATGGACCCACCCAAGTGAAAAAGACAAAAGATAACAGAAGGCATTAAAGGGGCTGGTCGGGGAAAAAATTACAAAATAAATGGGTCTAAAAGCGTTCTCTGGCCTTCCAAAAGTTATACCACGGCAATATGATGGTCGAGTTCTGCTTGCAATGTCCAGTTTTGACCACTGAAATCTCGGGGAAGCCCCGTGTAAATTTAGCGCAGATCTATTTATATATGTCACATGGTTGTTTTGAAAGTGAGGCAGTGAAGATAACAACAATAGCACGCCGTCATGTGCCATGTTGGACTCAACTAGCGGACAAGACAGCAATACTATACGTAAATAATTGTTTTCAAAGGTCATGTAT